TCGAGCCGCTCTTTCATTTGACCCAAAAAAACGGCCACGGCCAATTTATTGGCGCATGTAATATTTCTGCCATTCTAGATGCAATGGAGGTCAGACAAAGCCAATCCTCGATATATTCGGGTATTTTCGCCAATTATGGAAGTGGTTTTGTACCTTCCAAATTTCGTTTTGTTGAGGATTTTTAAATGGCATTCAACAAAACTAAAAAAAATTTTTTTTCAAATGCCCAAAACGTTTTATTGCGCCCAAAACGTTAATTTTTGAGTTTTGTGAGTTTTTGACAAAATTTTGCGGTTCAGCACAGGTCATTTTTTTCGGGTTTTTAATGAGTATTTCCGACGGAACTTTTCCGTTCTTTCGATTGAGCATCATGTCAATTAGCTCACATAATCGGAAATGCTTTAAAATCGCCAAAAACGTAGAAAATTGTGCGTGGTACCCCCTTCCCCCACCTCGATCGTAGATTTTTTCATTTCTGTACCCAACATGACTATTTTTACGAAACATATTAAGAAATTAGACTGGAACTTGGATTCGTTCTATCCAAATTTTTTTTTTCAAATTTAGTTTTTTTTTATTTTTCCCAGTTTTTCACTTTTTTATTTTTTCATTAAAAAATTCATTATTTCTCGACCATTCATGGACCATAAATAATTCAGTTAAGGAGAAATAGAGGAAATAGTTCGGAATTCCCAGGATTTTACCCAATTTTCTCGATTGGGTGTTGATGAATTTGTGATGTGCGTAATATTCCTTCGATTCCAAATAGAATAAACAGATACGTAAGGGCATTGACATTATTCCTACCTGATTTGTTTACCGACAACTCTATTCTGCGCCTCTGCATTGTCTCAAGGAATGTCTGATTGACTCGTGCCCTCAATATATTTCTATTTTCTTCAGTAGAAAAATAAAAATGTTGAAAAATCAACATATTTATGTCTTCATTACCATCTCCGCGCATTCGTCATAAAGAAATATTAGTCATAAACTAATATTGACGGTGTAAAACTCGAAAGGACCTTGCAAGGACAGTAAACCTGAAGAGATAAATATAATAAAAAACGAGTTAACAGATTTACATGATTTACTGAGATTTTTTTCCTCAAATTTTCCACAGGAAAAATGCATGAAATAATTTCCCATTGATAACAACGGTATCATAATTACCAGTGCATACCCTCGGCTCTAGATAAGCCAAACTGTCTGAGTCTTATCGGCACGTACGAAATCTTCAACTCACTGGAGATCATTCAATCGCACTCATCGCGATGTTTCAAAACTTTATTTCCTCGCAGATGCGCGCTTCCGCATCGATTGTGCGTAATCGAGCAATCGGTGAATACGCGCCAGTGGTAACTCACCGGTTCATGATTATGCACCACCGCGATGGACTCGCGCGCGTGCTTGTGACCTCGCGACGCCTTGGAATGCACCTCTCCACTTACTTGTGCTCTAACTCGCGGGTATTATTTCTCAGATTGAGTGACGATCTTCGTATCTGTGTTTATAGAAACAAAGAAGATGTCTCAATCTATTTATTGCAATTAATTTTCGTACAGAAGTTTGAGAGAATTCATCTAGACTTTCCTATTAGTTATTGCAATTCATTAGCGAAGCGGTAAAACGGTTCAAGTCGATTTTTTGACTATTGGCCAGTTTTCAATGAGTATCTCGGAATCTGAGGGAGATAGCAAAATTTTTGTTGAAACCTTTTTTGTAGCCCTTAATTCGCTCTATGAAAAAGTTGATTACGAAAATTTCGTTATCTCCTTTAAATTGGGAGATATTCCTCAAAAACTCACCTCAAGTCTTAATCTACTTGAACCGTTTTACCGTTTCGCTATCTATTATAATAAAAAAATAATGAAATATCGCGAACTATTCAGTGGAAATTTATAAGAATCCGCACGAAGAATGACGTTTAAAATGTTTTAATCTCAAAATTAAAAAAAAGAATGATGTAAATTTATAAACTAACAATTTGAAGTTGAGTAAAAACAAAATCAAACCATTGAAAACCGTAACAATCCTGAAATATTCTTAACAATTCTAGACAAAAGTCCTGCATAATACGACTTTTAAAATAAAAAGTCGTTGCTTCGAACAAACTATTAACAAAATTCAACGATTTCTGGAAAATTCAAAAAATGTGTCCTCGAACTCCCGAGATCCACGTGTATGAGTCACGCGCACCCAGGTGCACTACTTGTTTGTACCTCCATGTAACCATGACAACGACCGGAGCGACCACTCACCTTGCCTCCATTCCCCATTTGACGTTTCATCCGTGTCTCCACGAAATTAAAATAAACCGCAAATAATACGGGACAACGATCCTCAAAATAACGTTTTCAATGACACCCTCGCGTGCTCCCAGTGCATAACGATCCCCCATAAGCCATTTCATATTAACTTTCTCATTGGAAAGTTTACCGAATGTCACAAGTCATTCTTCGATGTGCGCACGTGGACATAATTTCATTCAGCAAACCGCAGCGATAGTGATGTCACGAGAACTGTTTTAATGTGAAATCCACGTAGGAAACGGTGATAAGGAATAAAATGGTGGTGGTGGATAGGAGAGAGGCTTTCATTGTTTCCACGGCGAGCCATTTCTTCGGGATTTCCCCGAATAATGCGCTGGAGCCTGAGGACCACATGGTTCTCGATAGATTTCTCGATACCCCTCAATCTAGAACTTTGTGCGCTCAACCCGGAGAGTCTGATGACTCCTCGCATTTGAGGCTGAGTAATGAGGCATCTGGTGGGAAGAATACACTGGTATTCTTCAAGGTTTGTATCTCAGATATTGCGCGTTGGAAAAATCGGACTGTTGAAAAATTTTCGAGGGGCTTCTCGGCCCATAATTGAGTGACACAATGATTTCGAAATAAAGTCGATTTCGGGTGATTTCAGCGGTGATTTCAGGGATTTCGGAAAAAATGATTTCGGTGATTTCGAGCGTCGCGGGAGCTGATCTCATGGTTTTGAATGATTTCATTAGTTCGAAATCAGTGATTTCAGAAAAATAAAGGTAATGAATAATAGAGGTGGGGCGGAACGGGTTGAGTCAAATTATGAAAATCAAAACTGACAATAATAACTGGTGAATAATGATGGATTCGTTTGATTCCACTGCACCAATCGTGAGCTTATGACGAATAAGTGCGGCATTTTATTATCATCGTTGGCAGGCGTGTCAATTTCGAAATCACGAATTACTTGCACGGTTCGCAGTACGTCAGGGCGCCACTGATTTCGGTGGTTTCATTAATTTGAGATGATTTCACGTGATTTCGGAGATGATTTCGAAAATTATTTTGGAGGGCTGAAATCATATAATTTCAGTGATTTCGGTAATTTCGAAATGATTCGAAGTGATTTCGAAATGAGCCCCTCGAAAATTTTAGCTGAAATTCCCGCGACATTCCTTGGAAATTTTTATCAAGTCATAGTTCATTGAAATTCCAAGGAATATTGTCTGTGAAAATTCGCAATTTGAGGGAAAAATCCATGGCTTGTTGCTCGCAAAACGTAGTTCCATTGAATTTTCATTAAAATTTCACAATGCCTCCCCCTCCTCCCCTAAATCGAATTTAATGTCGCTTCTCTGAAAATTCCAATTTCATTGAATATTCCGAACATTGACTGATTTTCTAGTAACAAAATCTATCGAAATTTGATGTAAATGAGTCGTTGCTAAAAATTTTAACATTTTTTACTTGAAATATCTGGAGTAATTCTGAGAACCGTGTATCTAGCATTTAAAAAATCCGCCGCAAAACCCAAATTCTATTACTTTCATGCGGATTTCTACTGGAATTTGATTTCGAGGCGTTGCCGTCGGTGAAATTTCCACAGAATAACTCTCACAGAAGAATAAAAATCCTCTCAATTCCTTCAGCAATCTTGTTTGCGATGAAAAATGCGAAATTCTTCCCGGAAATCAATCACACAATCCATTCTCTCTAATACTTCCAATACACTGATAGACTGATTCATTTATTCCAATCGAGATTCGTTAACTATTAACAAATGGTAGAGTTGAATATGACCAAATGAATATTCGTTAATAGTCAACGAATAGTCAACACTGACTGGTGAAAATCGAGTCAAACAAGCCTTCTCGAAGATGCATTAGTTAACTATTAACAAATTAATTAATGAACATTTGGTGAGACCGAATAGACCCTCGTCTCCAACCAAATCCATTTGTTAGCAATAACTAAACCTTTCTATCAGTGTACCTGCAGTTTGTTGAAATGCGGATGAATCAATCTGTAATATCCCCCAATCCACTTACTCACCCCCAGCTATCCGCATCATCCATCACGAACGACAACTTCCACGAGCTAGTGCAGGTAGCTTCGACCGGCGGGAACTCAGGATCAGCGCTGATAGAAGCCCTCCGCCAGGTATGGGCCCCAACCCTCGAGTCCTCCGGTCTCAGCACCTCCTACCTCAAGAAGCTCGAAGAGGACCTCCTGGGGCCGCGCCCGGCGTCGACCCTCCTCGAGGAGGAAGCCTCCTTCCGCAAGAAGAAGGAAGACGCGAAGAGGTCCAGCGACCGAAAACTGTTCGAAGAAGCCTGTAGAATCGTAAAAGACATACGAGTCGAGCTGGAGACCGCAGCGATCTCCCGGGACGGTCTATCAGCCGCCGAAGAAGTCCTCGAGGCGGTCGCAGGGAGCGTCGACGACCTCTGGAAGTTGGACGGTCCCGTCTACTCCGAAGATCAAATGAAATCCCTTCTGAACATAATCGGTGACGAAGTGGTGGCTCTAGTGCAGTCCCTTCTGGACGAAATCCGCGGGGCGGAGGTGCGAATGCGGGACGAGGCCTTCAAGACAGCTGCCAACGTCTGCGAAAAATGGGTGAGCGTCTCCCAGCGTCTGACCACCCTCTTCTGGCCACACCACTCCCTCCACCCCTGGAGAGGCTCGTCCTTCTCGCCCCCCAGATGCTCAAAATTCGCCGACAGATTGAGACAAGCGTCAGAAGTTCGTCTGCAACATCGTCAGCTGACGCGACTACTGACGGAAAACGAGAGATCACTCCTGGGAACTGAGAATCTCCTCCAGAACTTCGACGACATGAAGCTCGTTCTGGGGGAGGAGGAGAAGGACCTGGAGTGGGAGCGATTGAAGAGGAGACTGGAGGAGGGTCTGGCGCCGGCTGAAGAGCGCGTGACGGAAAAGCTGAAGAAGCAATTCGCTGGGGCGGGGAGTCCAGCGCTCCTCGTCGGGGAGTTCCAGAGGTACGTTGAACTGATGAAGCGGGAGGGGATCAAGAGGTCGTTACGAACCGAGCGGGAGTCCCTGCTGGCAGCTCTAGACGACCTCGTCGAGACCTACCAGAGCGGTCCGGACACTGAGGACCTTCTCGACGTTCCGAGAATCCTCCAGGAGGTTCAGGCAGCGAGAGCGGCCGAAGTCAAACTGGAGGGTCTTCAGGGTCTATCGAAAGACCTGTTGTCTGACCTCCCCGGGTTCAAGGACGCCCTCTCCAGGATCTCGTCGGCGATGAAAGACGCTGAGAGTCGGCGCCAGAGCCTCGTGGAGACCTGGGTGAACGACACGAGAGACGCCATCAACAGCAAAGAGTTGACGCTTGGCGCGGATTCAGCGGTGGTCGAACTGGTGGGTTCGAGCATGATGAAGGTGAATTACGACCCCAGGTTGACGCAGCTGGTTAAGGAAGCCAGAGCACTCTCTGGGCAGGGTATAGAGCTTCCTCGAGAGATAAGAGAACTTGTGGAGCGCGCGGGGGCGCTCGCTGGGCGGGCCAGATCTCTTCAACAAGTGGCCAACTTTCATAACACTATTGGAGACCGGATGGTGCCCTCCCAGAGGCCTCTCATGCTGGCCACGGCCTTGGAGCTTGCCAGGGCCGTTCATGAGCAGTCGGGGGTCGTCTGGTCGGACCTCCACGCGGTAGACGTCTACACCGCACGTCTCAGGGAATTCGTTCGGAAATTCGCGAGGCAGAATTCGGAATTGGCAGCTAAACACGTTTATCTGAGGGATTTGGTCGCTGGGTTGTTGAAGGGAGAAGTCGTGAATCTCGTTGGGAGTCAGTCGGCTTGGAAGGATGCCCTTAGGAACATGAGGTCCGTTGTTGACGAGGTCGATTCGCATTATGGTAACACCAAAGCCTGGAAGCTGCACTGGGACCGACAGCTGCTGAAGGTCCTCGGGGTTGCTTACAGGGCGGCTCTTCCGAATCTAATCAGAAAACTCCAGGAGATCAGGGTAGAGCTGACGTTCAGGGACGGTTGTCTTCAGTGGCGCCCGCCCCTCGAGGAAATTCGGGCCAAACTCTACTCCGGGGTCAGGAGATTCCTCGCGATTCCTACGAACTTCCGGGGAGTTGGTGATCCTGCTGACGGGAAATTCGGAAGTCTCGTGCAGAGGAGTGCCTATTTGTACGGGGGGGTTTATAAGGAAGCGGAAGTGGCGCTTTCCGGTCTCGAGGAGGTGAGGATGAAGTGGGTTCCACTCGCTGCACCAGCGAGGGTCGATATTGGAGAGCAGTTGAAGGGAAAGCCTCCGCAGGATTGGGAGAGAGCTTTCAAGGATGCGAAGCAGTGGGCGCAGGAAGTTGGGAAGCTCCGGGGAGGGGAGGTCAGGGTCTGGTGCCTGTGCATCGACACTTCCACCACGAGGAATGACTTGGAATCGGCTTCGAGGAGGTACTGGGACCGGTTGTCCTCGGATCTGAGGGCAGAGGCTTCCTCGAGACTGGTGGGAGTGGTGGATTTCTTGTCGGCTGCTGCTAGGGAATTGGATCGACGGCCGAAGGATGTCGAGGAGGTCGGGCTTGCGTTTGAAGCGCATAAGAGAATCACGGAGGAGTCCGCGGGGATTGGGGGGGAGTTGGAGGCTGTGACCGGACTGGCGAGGGTCATGGCTGCTTGGACCAGGGAGAAGCTGGATGGTAATTCTTTTGTTTTTTTTTCTTTCTAAATTCTAATTCTCATTGAATTTTTGAATTTTTGAATTCTTTTTGAGGAATTATTCCCCAGGAGCTTGGGAAATGATTCCAAGATTTGTATTCTCATAATAAATTTTTGCAGGGATCCCTGAATTTGGGAATGTTTGATTTTTTGAATTTTTGAATTTTTTTTTTAAGGAATAATTCCCCAGTAGTTTGGGAAATGATTCCGAGATTTGCACTCTCATAATAAATTTTTCTAGGGATCTCTGGAGCACATGCTGCTTGGGAGGGGCTTGCGGATCGTCTAGAAAGGCACAAAACAGTTGTTGCGCGTCAGTTGGAAGATGCGAAGATAAATTTACGTCATCGAGCAGTCGCCCTGAGGGACGAGAGGGAGAGGTGGGAGGCTCGCTGGTCCGACAAACCGGAAACCGTCACCCTGGACTGGGTCGCCTCGATGAGGGAACGGTGGACAGCTCTGGAAGAGCAGAAAGACTCACTGATATCCGACTGCACTAGGGTAGGACTGAACCTCGATGAAATCCTCGAGGACGACGTTGAGGTGTCGAGACGGCTGGAAGCGGAGCTCGACGCTGAGGAGTCCAACTGTCGATTCCAGGAGGAGTTCGTGAAGGAGCTTGAGAATCAAGAGGCCGAGGAGTGGAGTGTCGCTCGGAGGAGGCTTCCCCGACTCCATGACTGGTTGGACTCGTGGGAGGCGAGGATCAAGGTCCACTTGAAAGACCCGGAGGAGGCGAGATCGGAGCAGCAGAAGGAGGTCGTGGAAGTTGATACTTTTGTGGGGAAGAAGATCAAGGAAGTCCGGAGTGGCATCGAGTGGGTGCAAATTCTGAGGGGAGACGAACTTGCTGAGGAACACTGGAATGATCTGAAGGGGGTCATTGGGGTCGGGGGGAATATGAGGGACATTACTCTGGGGCATTTGCTGAGAGCCGCACCGATGATCAAAGAAAACGTCGAGAAAGTTAAGGTGGGTATTTTAGATTTCGGATTTGGGGACGACCAATGCGATTACTTTTCGCCAAAAAGAGAAGAGATGAGTGAGGCCGGTTTTGCTGGAGCTTGGAGAAACAAGTGTTCTCTACTGGACTTTTCGCTCGTCTCCTGTGCATGACTTTTTGAAGCATTTGTATTCTAGAAAATATTGCTGTTTGCAAAATTTTGCCTGAAATTTTCGGTCGATTGCAGGAGATGAAAATTACGCTGAGAAAAAAAAATATTTTTGCCTAATATTCAGTTACTTGAGGGAAGCGTTTATTTTTTTCAAACCCGTATTTCCTAAATTTCTTATTTTCTAGAAGGAAAAATTAATTTTTTAATGTTGATAATTATTGAGGGAATGCACTTAAGGCCATAACTAACATGTTCACCTTCTGGAGCAATATAATTGTCATAATTGACACCTAATGAGGATTGCCTGGGAATGACTCAGCTGGAGAAATACGACATTGAATAAATAAAACCTTTTCTCAAGTGAATGGATATTTGGCAAAATAATGTTTTGACGTGGATACGTCTACGGTTTCAATATGCTGGGTCATTCTGGGAAACGGTCCTTATTCGCAGTGCCATCTACCGGAATTCTAGAAAATTCTAGACATTTCGAGATAATTTGAGAAGTTTCTTGAAGTTTCGAAAAAATTCAAAGAGATTCTAGAAATTTCGAGGAAATTTGTGGAGTTTCTAGAAAATTCGAGGGAATGCAAAGAGTTTCCCGAAAATTCGAGGGAATGCAAGAACTTTCTAGGAAATTCGAGAAAGAAGGAAGAACCATGGACATATCCACGTACAATTACAGCTGTATCGAAGATACAGCCGCCTGTTTTTCCTCAGTGTCCAACTTCTGCATGCGATTCCCCCACTTTTACTTCTCCCCCAGGAAATATCGAGACGAGCAACAGCCGAGAGTGGAATCCGCCAGGCGCTGATAGAACTGGAAGCCTGGGAAGCGTCCGCCTCCCTGCACCTCCAGCAGTCCAAAGACAGTAAAAACGCCCCGATTCACCTAGTGGGCGAGTACGGGGAGCTCCTCGCCCGCGCCGGAGAGCTGAAGCTCCTCCTGGAGGGTGCGAAGGGCGCCTCGGGCTACGAGAGGTTCGCAGCTCGCGCAGCTCGTTGCGAGACCGCCCTCGTGGAGCTCGAGGAGAGGCTCAAGGCCCTGGGCTCCTTGCAACGAAAGTGGGTGTACCTGGAGCCCGTTTACGGGAGCGGAGCAGCCCCGAGTGACTCGGGGAAGTGGGCGAGGGCTGACAAGGAGTTCCGTTACTTGATGGGCGAAGTCGCCCGGGATCCGCGGGTTCCGTCGCTGCGGCGGCTCCCGATGCCGGCACTAGTGAGCCTGAAGGACTTGCTGGACAGGTGCCAGCGGAGTTTGGACGAGTTCTTGGAGGAGAAACGATCGGCCTATCCTCGGCTGTACTTCCTCAGCGATGAGGATCTCCTAGAGCTGATTTCAGGCAGCGCTGCGGGTCTCGACGCCCATTTGCCGAAATTATACCAGGGAATTGGCTCCGTGCAACGAGAGGATGGACGATTGACGGCTGTTGTCTCACCGGAGGGGGAAATACTGGCGCTGCCGGTCTCCATCGACCTCTCCGATCCTCTGCCCACGTGGCTGTCGAATCTCGAGGAAGTCCTGAGGAAGGCGCTGGCCCAGAGCCTGGAGAAATGTCTCGTGGACCCCAACGCCGATCCCTCTCTCTATCCGGCCCAGGTCCTCCTGCTCTCGGAGAGAATACACTTCACTGAGAGGTGCGAGTCAGCCCTGCAAGGCGGAAAATCCGCGCTTAAGAGACTCGTTGAGTTTCTGGAGACTCAGAGGGCCAAGTTCAGGGGCTTGGAGGACGCCGGGGACCCCTTGACGGCGCAGAAGGCGAGGAGCCTCCTCCTGGACACAGTTCACCATCTTGACATCACGAGGAATCTGATGAAGATCGTGGAGAGGGGGGGGCCGACCAGGTGGACGTGGAACCGACAGCTGAGGTTCTACAGGTCTCGGCTGGGACCGATTGTCAAGTGCGCGGGGGCCGAGTTCTCTTACAGGTTTGAGTATCACGGGGCCGCGATTGGGCTGGTAAGGACCCCCCTGACGGAACGGTGCTTCTTGGCTTTGACGCAAGCGATGAAGCTGGGACTTGGGGGCAGTCCCACGGGACCCGCGGGGACTGGGAAGACTGAAAGCGTCAAGGCTCTTGCTGCGATACTCGGGAGACTCGTGCTTGTCTTCAATTGCGATGAAGGTTTGCATCCTTACACGGAGGGAAATTTTGAATAAAAATTATCCTAACGTTTCATAAAAGTGTATCATGCGTCATCCTCTCCTCATTTCTATCCCGAAATTTAGTAAAAATTAATATTTGATGATCAAATTTCATTCTACGTTGGAGAAATTTTATCCTGACTCATAATAAATTTTACCCTTGCAGTCCAATCATTTTTATGTCGATAACAACGAAATTCTATTGGATTTCTAGTGAAATGTTCAATAGAAAATGTTGAACAGAAAAAGTCTATAGAATTCGATTTTTCTATTTAACTCGGCTCAAATTATCCAAGTTTTTTTGTTTGATTTTCTTGATGAGAAGAAAAGAAAAATAGAAAAATATGAAAAAAACTTGGAAAATTCGAGCCGAGGAAATTCTATAGAAAATATCTGAAAAAAACAAGTTATATAGAAAAATTGAATTCTGTTAACTTTGTCTATTGAAAATTTTCTATTGAACATTTCAATAGAATTGGCCGAAAACTAACAGCAAGTTCAACAGAAATCCAATGGAAATTTGCAACGAATTCGCTAGGTTTTTCTATTAAATGTTTTCCTGCGTGAAAATACAGATCCTCCTCCTCCCCCTAATCGTATGACGTAATATTTGAATGACCACAGAGAAATTCCACGACAATTTCAGTAGCGAAGTGATAAAACTCCTCGACTTATCCCCCAGTTGAGTTTTTGGGGAATATTTTCGAATGTAAGGCAGATAGCGAAATTTTCATAATCACATTTGTTGCAGCTCTCAATCGGCCCTACAAAAAAGGTCATAACAAAAATTTGTCTATCTCCCTTAGATTCCGAGATATTTATTGAGAACTCGCCAATAGTCAAAATTGGCTTGAACCGTTTTACCACTTCGCTACTGATTTCCTTGCTGTACCAAGTGGAGTTGACTGAAAACAGTCTTTACCTGACGATGAATTATCATTAACCAGGAATGGACGCAGGGGTCATGAAGAGGATTCTAGGGGGTCTAGCGCAGGCGGGTGCATGGGGTTGTTTCGACGAGTTCAATCGCCTGGAGGAAAAAACCCTGAGTGCAGTGGCGATGTTGGTCCGTCCCCTCCAGGAAGCCGTGAGGGACGGTTCCACCCAAGTGAGCCTCGGGGATCAAGTGGTGAATCTGGACCCCCACTGCTGCGTATTCATCACGATGAATCCGGCTGGGGACGACTACGGAGGCAGGAATAAACTGCCGGATTCCCTGGCGAGACTCTTCAGGCCCATTGGCATGGCTCACCCCGATCGCTACGACATCGTCAAGTCCCTGCTGGAGTGCGGAGGCTTCCTGGAGGCCTCTTCCCTCGCTCATCAAGTCGTCGAGACCCTGGACATATCCGAGAAATTGTTGTCCAAGCAGCCGCATTATGACTGGGGCCTGCGAGCCCTCAGGTCCGTCCTGGACGCTGTCTCCCCCTCAGGCACTCAAACGGAGTCCGAGAGGCTCCTCGAAGCCATCAGGGCAGCCATTCTTCCAAAATTGACTGAAGAGGACACTGATAGATTCCTGGAGCTCCTCAAGGACGTTTTCCCGAGGACGAGTGCCTCGGAAGTGAGCGATTCCGAGGTGAAACGCGAGTTGAGAAAGGTTCTGGAGGAGATCTGCCAGACCAGGAGCATTCAGGGAGAGGTGGCCAGTCGCTGCGAGCAGCTGTACGATCAACTCAAAAACAGAACTGGAGTTGCGATAGTCGGCCCTCCGGGCTGTGGGAAGACTCTCGTGAGGAATGTGCTGGGCGAGGCTCTGGGAAGGTCTGGAGACACCGTCAAGCAGATTCTGATCTTCCCTGGGGCCATCCCCAAGACTAGACTTCTGGGGAAAGTCGATCCACAGACTAGGTAATCGATTTTGCACTATAATCTGGGGGCTTTGGACGCACGAACAGCGATTTTTACAGTTCACGATTTTTCACAGAAAATTATCAGCAAGAAAATAAAAATCTCGATTTTTCAATGTCTCCGGAAAGTTTCAAAATTGATATATTTTTTCAAATAATGGAAGAATACCCATCAATTCAATTTCTATCCTCACATTTTGATAGAATACTTAAAAAAAATAGCAAAGAATAAAAATCGGAGATGAAAAATTTTATCGGATTAATATAATGTAATTTTTCAAATAATGGAAGCATATCCATCAATTCAATTTCTATCCTCACATTTTGATAGAATACTTAAAAAAAATAGCAAAGAATAAAAATCGGAGATGAAAAATTTTATCGGATTAATATAATGTAATGATTGATTGATGTGCTTATCACTGTCTGTACAAAGCTGTAAGAGATAATTGGATATGCTTTATTGAAAAAAATCAGTCAAAAAAACTCCTTTCAGGGAGTGGAAGGAGGGCCTGTTGTCCTCGGCAATCGCCTCAGCAGGTTCATCAGCCCTGTGGATCGTTCTGAATGGCGATGTTGAGCCTGGATGGGCAGAGGCCCTCAACTCAGCTCTGGATGACAACAGATTGCTGACACTACCAAGTGGTGTGGGAATAAAATTGGGGGCAGGAGTGAGGTTCATCTTCGAGACCCACAAGCTGTCTGGAGCCAGTCCAGCCACAGTTTCTCGTCTGGGTGTTGTGCACCTGGGGAGTGCAGGTCCCTCTGCCTTCCTAACGTCCTCCAGACTCGACGAATTGCCACCAGTGGCCAGGAACGTCGCCAGTGCTCATCTTCCTGCGGTCGTTGGAGCTGCTCTCAAGTTCTCTGGAGAGACAATCTCTGCTTCTGGACTCATTGGAGCGGTTTTCCCGCATCTGGTGAAGGCCACTTCCATGAATCTCGTGACTCAGGGACTGATTCTGACAGTTTGTCTGCAGCTGGAGAATGATAGTAGCAGGGAGGAGACTGCCAGGTTGATTTACCAACTGACTGACTCCTGGTGAGCTTTCCGGCCCATTTGAGGAGAGGTTCACCCCGGAAAACAACTTTCTCGTTTTTGGGGAAAAATTATTAAAAATGGGGAAGAGTGGGGCAGAATGGAACAGTCAAAAAACGACTGCTTGACGCAATTCAAGGAAACAAATTTTTTTTCATTAAATATTTTATTTATCAACTTTTTTTTCCCTTGGGAGTACTGAGAATAATAATTTTCCATTCAGAAGCAGGCCCAGGAGCAAGCCCCAGGGGGAGGCCCAGAGCGGGAAAAAGGAAAATGTGATGCTGAATTTCAATCGAATAATACATTGACAAAATCTTCAGCCATTAAAACTTCGGAATAATTTTCGATTCTACTGAATGGAAAATTATTATTCTCTTCTGTCCTCACGAGAATAAAAACCCGTTGACAAAAAAAATATTTAATAAAATTTTTTTTTCCCTTAAAGTGCGTTAAATAGTTTTTTTACTGTTTCATTTTGCCCCGTTGTTTCATTTTGCTCCACTCTCCCCTACTATTTTTCAGATGATTTCTTTTCAGAATCCGATTTTGGAGGTCGAAATTCAAAAATTGGGCTTTAAAAAATCCCCAACTCATGAATTTTTTAGATAGTTTTTCTAATATGATCACTAATTTTCGCTCCTTAATTATAAAAATGAGAGAGAAGGTGCATTTCCGTACGAAAAATCGTAGGTTGAAAAAACTTTCATCGAAAAACGGAAAAATTGTTCTCCTGTTGATTGAATTTTTTGTTCCTTTAGCAGTTATTTTTCAGATTGCACAGTTTTTATTGTCCCCAGGTGTCCAGACCCAGAGAGACCCCTTAATATTCTCTACAACCCTGAGCTCGATCGTCTGGAACCCTTCTCCGAGGTTCAGACATCAGTCAACACCGAAGAGGGGCCTGTTTCGCTCTCGAGTGTTCTGCAGCAAGGGCTAGTGACGATCCTGCCCTGGATCGAGTCTGGGCAAGCGATTCTCCTGAGGGGTCCCAGGGGCAGCGGACGCAGCAGTCTCATCTCTGCGGCCCTATCATCTCTGAAGGATGGTTTAGAGTCTCTCAGTGTGGTCAAAGGGTCTTCCCTGTTCGGCCCCCAGGATTTAACAGCCAGGCTCAAGAGAGCTTGCGTTAAACTTGAATCTTCAGTGCATGGGAGGACTTACAGGCCCAGGAGTGGGGGGAAAGTCGTTCTGGTATTGGAGGACATCCATCTGGCTTCTGAAGACCTTCAGGTAAGTTTGAAATTTGGCGAGAATGAGAATACATGCTTTACACTATCATTCGGGGATTTTTATACGAAAAAATTTCATAGAAAAACCCAGCAAATTCACTAGAAAATTTTATTAAATTTCTGTTGAAATCCAAAGAATACAATTTTTTGCTCGATTTTATTGCAGAATTCCACAACTTTACAGCGTGTTTTTTGTGGTAAATCTACTTCACGTGATGCTATACTCTACACAGCAAAAACGAATTTCTGAATTTCACACACCTTTTGGAGACATTTTTCAGATACTAAAAAACGTGTGAATAAAATGAAAATGTGTCTGAATTTCAGACGAACAAACGCAAAAAAAATCTTAATTCATGTTTGAAATCCAGACAAATGTTCATTTTATTCAGACGTTTTTCAGTGTCTGAAAAATGTCTGTAAAGGTGTGTGAAATTCAGACATTCATGTTTGCAGTGTAATAAAGTCTAATTGATTTAAACCGTTTTACCGTTTCGCTACTGAATTCCATCTTCCTCCCGACTTTTTCCAATGAGACAAAAAAAATTCCGTATCGAGAAGAAAAACAATTTCTACAGTTTTCTCGACACGAATTTCCTGAGCTTTTTCCCCTCTGTTTTCATTTCCCTCCAGTGTAGTAGAATATCAAAGCAAGATCAGTTGAAAAAAAAAATATTTTCGAACAAAATCGAATCCTCCAGGAGCTCGTCCGCCAACTCCTCCAAGAGGGTGGTTTCCACGAGGAGGACCTGGAGTTCGCGACCCTCCCAGTAACCCTCATCTCCACAGCGGACACATCAACGAATCTCCATCCAAGACTAAGCTCCCTCCTGGCAGTGCACCGCCTCCCCCACCCGACACCCAGAGCCACAATTTCCATAGCCGAAGTTCACCTCGAGAGCTCCCTGAAATCCCTGAAGATCCCCTCGACCTGGATCTCCACCCTCGCCAGCGCGATGCACGAGTCCCTCTCCTCAGTCTCTTCCCACAAAAATTCGACCTTCTCCTGGAGCTCAAGAGACCTGGCCCAGTGGGCGAGGGCCCTGGAGTCCTACCCAGCCCCAGAGCACACAAACGAGATCACCCAGTACCTCCTGGACTCTGGGAAACGACTGTTCTACCCAAAGCTGCCAGCAAAGGAACAGACCCGTTGGAGATCCTCGTTGATATCCAGAATCCCCGAGTCGAGTGATCTATCGAAGGAAATTTACATCTGGAAGGGCAGCGGCTCGTTGCTACCCCTGGGGCCTGAGGAGTGGCAGCTGGAGATCGAGGGGGCAGCGACCAAATGTGCGAGAGAGGGTGATCCAGTCAGTACGACCATCTCTCCTCATCTTCTGACGACAGTTGCAGGGGTAATGATTTTTATCCTCTCACTTTCCTCACCACATTTCTGACAGGGGTTTGGGCACTGTCAGATTTTTTCGTTTAAGGCCCGCGTGTCTAAAATTTAAAAAGAATCACGAAACTGTAGAAAAAACGCATGAAAATTATCGCACCACTACGCAACTTCGTGAGCCATTAAAGAATGACAAACCACAAAATCGTTATATTTTTTCACGTCACTCCCATCGATAATTTGCCAGAAAAATGAAAACAACATCAATTTTGGCTAAAAGGGTGTCGAACATCCTTAATTCTTTATTATCTCGTAAACTGTGTAGTACAGCTAGTTAGCATTTTTTTCACTAGCTGGTGACCACGATAAACATTATCAATGAAAAACGTAGGAAGAATCTTAAGAAAAGCGTGTTTTCCAGGGATATACCTTAAAACTGCTGTTATGAACTTAAATGCCGAGAAGTATAAGTTGTTTGAAGATGAATGGAAACGGTTGGAATAATCTTGGTGATTCTTCAATTAAATTTCCTTCAAATTCCTACAGATTTGTTGGGCATTTGGGAGTGGGCATCGAGGGGTGGTCCTCACGGGTCGTCCAGGTGCTGGGAGGAAGTCAGCAGCGAAACTGGCTGCATCATTCTCTTCCCTAAGATTGATTGACGCTGGCCCCGGGAGGGGGCGAGTTGGGGTGAGAGCTGCTGTGCAGGCAGCTGGAGTCGACGGGGAGCCAACGCTGTTGCTCCTGGAAGAGCATCACGCCAGAGAGGAGGGGCTGGCAGTCCTGGCTGGAGTGATGGTTTCTAGGGGAGAAATCCCCGGACTGCTGTCTCCTGAAGAGCTTGACGGCCTCGTTGCACCCCTGAACGACCTCGCGAGGAAGGAAGACTTCACTGGAACTCTTGATCAGTTCCTTTACCATAGACTGAGGAAGCTCCTTCACGTCGTCGTCATCCTGGACTTGTCTGATGTCAGGAGAGAGTGGTTAATCCAGTCTGGACTGCTTCAGCACTGCGTCCTCGTGGCGGCGGCGCCTGGGGGCGAGTGGTGGACTATCGAGGGGTCACTAATGGAATTGGGGACTCGGGTTGATAAATCGATGGGCGGGGGCGAGGAATCGGCGGGAATGAAGGCTTTGGTGGAGGCTCATCTGCGGGCGCCCAAGGGGCAACAGTCACCTGGGAGATTCCTGGCGCTGCTGAACACTTGGAGAGAGCTCAAGGACGAATGGAGTCACGATGTGGAGAGGAAACTGGAGAGTCTTGAAGCCGGCATTGGGCGGCTGAGGGAGGCGGGGGAGAGGGTGGCGAAACTGGAAGAGGAGGCGTCGAAACAACGAAAAGAACTTGAGGTGAGGTTTTTCAGGGTATCATTTATGAACGTGGGGGATTTTTTGGGGTGCGCACATCCGGGAGAGAATAGTCAGGCGATTGTTAGGGAATTTTGTTGGATATTTTGATGGTGCTTCGCCGATTTTGGGGGAATTGTCTTCCGCTTTCAGGAATATTTGATGGACGAGTAGTCAGTAGATAAGGAACGAAATGGTAAGACGCGCGTATGGACGTTGTCCTTTCGACAATTGTCTGTGGGAATTTGTCAGCACGAATTTCACGAGTTTTTCAATCTGTATTTCGCGTTGTCACTCGGTGGAAAATGGAAGAAAATAAATCAGTAGAAAAGGAACTTTGAGGTCAGACATTCCTATATAAATTGTTCTGTTGACATTTGTTTGTAGGAATTTCTCCGCATGAATTTCACGAGTTTTTCAATTTGTATTTCGCGTTGTCACTCGGTGAAAAATGAAAAAAAATAAATTAGTAGAAAAGGAACGTTGAGGTAAGACTTGCCTACATAAATTGTTCTGTTGACATTTGCTTGTAGGAATTTCTCAGCACGAATTTCCCGCGTTTTTCAATCTGTAGTTTTCATCATCACTCCAAATTTTTTTTTTTAATCAGTAGAAAAGGACCGTTGAGGTAAGACTTGTCTACACAAATTGTCCTCTTGACATTTGTCTGTAGAAATGTCTCATTATGAATTTCCCGAGTTTTTTAATCTGCATTTTTAGTTGTCACTCCATAAAAAATGGAAAAAATAAATCAGTAGAAAAGGAACGTTGAGGTCAGACACTCATATATAAATTGTTCTGTTGACATTTGTTTGTAGGAATTTCTCAGCATGAATTTCCCGAGTTTTTCAATCTGTATTCTTTATTGTCACTCGGTAAAAAATAGGAGAAAAAAAATCAGTAGAAAAGGAACGTTGAGGTAAGACTTGTCTACACAAATTGTCCTCTTGACATTTGTCTGTAGAAATGTCTCACTATGAATTTCCCGAGTTTTTCAATCTGTATTTTTAGTTGTCACTCCATAAAAAATGGAAAAAATAAATCAGTAGAAAAGGAACGTTGATATCAGACATTCCTACATAAATTGTTCTGTTGACATTTGTTTGTAGGAATTTCTCAGCATGAATTTCCCGAGTTTTCCAATCTATATTTTTCTTTGTCACTTCATATAAAATAAAAAATAAAAATCAGTAGAAAAGGAACGTTGAGGTAAGACTTGTGTACACAAATTGTCCTTTTGGCATTTGTCTGTAGGAAATTCTCAGCATGAATTTCCCGAAATTTTCAATCTGTATTTTTCGTTGTCACTCGGTAAAAAATAGAAGAGAATAAATCAGTAGAAAAGGAACGTTGAGGTGAGACTTGTCCACACAAATTGTCCTTTTGACATTTGTTTGTAAGAATGTTTCAGCGTGAATTTCCCGCGTTTTTAAATCTGTACTTTTCATCATCACTCCAGAAAAAATAAAAAAAATATATCAGTAGAAAAGGACCGTCGAGATAAGACTTCTCTACGCAAATTTTTCTTTTGACATTTGTCCATAGGAGTTTCTCAGCATAAGCGTTCCAAATTTTTCACTCTCCATTTTCCTTCGTTTCCAAATAAAAAAATTAACTGGACAACTACACGTCACGTAATATTTAATTTCCTCACCCGCGTGATCACTTTAACACCTTCAGGAAGAGAAAGGCCGCGCAAATGCAGCTCTCGAACAGATAACCGCAACGATGCGTGGTGCAACTGGTCAACGTGGAGAAATGTCGACATTGAAAGCGGACACTGAGAAAGAGAGTATCGATCTGGCCAAAAGAAAGGCAGTGATTGAGAGGGAGCTGGGTAAAGTTGAGCCCCTGGTTGAGGCTGCAGCCCAAGCGGTGGCGGGCATCGGTGCGGACGCCCTGGCCGAAGTCAGATCACTGCGGGCACCCCCAGCCGCTGTTCGAGACGTACTCGAAGGTGTTCTGAGGCTCATGGGAATCAGAGATACGTCCTGGAACAGTATGAAGACGTTTTTGGCTAAGAGAGGTGTTAAAGACGAAATCAGGTAACTCTCAAAACCTGCAAAAATATCCGCGAAAAAAATTACACTATTGTGCAAAATTCCCACCAGCAACAAACAATTTTTACAGAGAAATCCAGCGATTTCGATAGGAAATTCCATTGCGAACTGAATTCCTGGACATTCATTTTTCAAGTGTTTCCATCTTCATAATGTAAAATATATCACAATTATCATTGGATTTGACATCACACAGGAGTCCCGAGAATTATGATTGTACAATTTAAAAAAGAAAAAAAAATGAACATTTTCAAAAAGCGTTATTAATAAAGATCAAAAAATAAGTCCGATAGAGAGAAAATAGTGAATGAATAATTTATCATGGTAACTAACGATCTGACCGCTATTGATTACTGTACCAAATGACTTTCTAACAGTCATTAGATACATTAAATTATTAATTTGCAATTGACTCTTACCATTCTACCCGGCCGGGTTTTGAACTCGGAACCTTTCGCACGTGAGACAACGACCTTACCCACTGCGCCAAGCCACCGGGTTATTAGAAAAAAAAAAAAAAAAAAAAAAAAAAAAAAAAAAAAAAAAAAAAAAAAAAAAAAAAAAAAAAAAAAAAAAAAAAAAAAAAAAAAAAAAAAAAAAAAAAAAAAAAAAAAAAAAAAAAAAAAAAAAAAAAAAAAAAAAAAAAAAAAAAAAAAAAAAAAAAAAAAAAAAAAAAAAAAAAAAAAAAAAAAAAAAAAAAAAAAAAAAAAAAAAAAAAAAAAAAAAAAAAAAAAAAAAAAAAAAAAAAAAAAAAAAAAAAAAAAAAAAAAAAAAAAAAAAAAAAAAAAAAAAAAAAAAAAAAAAAAAAAAAAAAAAAAAAAAAAAAAAAAAAAAAAAAAAAAAAAAAAAAAAAAAAAAAAAAAAAAAAAAAAAAAAAAAAAAAAAAAAAAAAAAAAAAAAAAAAAAAAAAAAAAAAAAAAAAAAAAAAAAAAAAAAAAAAAAAAAAAAAAAAAAAAAAAAAAAAAAAAAAAAAAAAAAAAAAAAAAAAAAAAAAAAAAAAAAAAAAAAAAAAAAAAAAAAAAAAAAAAAAAAAAAAAAAAAAAAAAAAAAAAAAAAAAAAAAAAAAAAAAAAAAAAAAAAAAAAAAAAAAAAAAAAAAAAAAAAAAAAAAAAAAAAAAAAAAAAAAAAAAAAAAAAAAAAAAAAAAAAAAAAAAAAAAAAAAAAAAAAAAAAAAAAAAAAAAAAAAAAAAAAAAAAAAAAAAAAAAAAAAAAAAAAAAAAAAAAAAAAAAAAAAAAAAAAAAAAAAAAAAAAAAAAAAAAAAAAAAAAAAAAAAAAAAAAAAAAAAAAAAAAAAAAAAAAAAAAAAAAAAAAAAAAAAAAAAAAAAAAAAAAAAAAAAAAAAAAAAAAAAAAAAAAAAAAAGCAATAGGTTGTTTATTCTTACGTACACTCGTCTCATTTCCCTTTCTCTAGGACATGGGATGCGAGGAGAAGCACCCCAGCGAGTCTCGAAGCAGTGGCAAAGCTGATAAAAGAGCGTCCAGAATCATTCGAGGAGAAAACAGCGAAGCGGGCGTCAGTGGCAGCAGCACCGCTGGCTGCCTGGGTCCTGGCGAATCTCCAATACGGTCAGATCCTCCAGCAAGTGGCCCCCCTCGAGCGCGAGCAGCGTCAGCTCTCGGAGAAGCTCTCAGCAGCAGAAGCCCAAATTGACAAGCTAGCAGCGGGTCTCAACTCGGTGGAAACCCGTGTCGCCCAACTGCAGGAGCAGCTTGCCGAGCACTCGAGGGGTGCAGCGGCCCTGCAACTTCGAACAGAAGCGACCGAAGCTAGTCTGTCGACAGCGAGGGCCCTTCTCCAGAAATTGGACGTGGAGCACAGCGACTGGCAGACGCAGTTCGAGGCTCTGACGTCGAGGAGGACTCGCCTGGACGTGGAGGCAGCTGAGGTCGCGTCCTTGATCGTGTATCAAGACCCGGGGAGGGACGACAAGTGGAAGAAGTCAGCACTGGAGCTGTTGGTAACCGAGAGGGAACGTCTGCTCTGGCGAGCCCAAGACCTGCCGACTGACACTGGGAGTCTGGTGGGGGCTGCCTGCGCTCTCAAGGGGCCCCTCGTCCCCCTCTTCATGGACTCTTCAGGTTGATATGAATTTTCTTTACAAGCTCATCTCACACGTTCGAAATTTCAAGGATTTCATAAATTTTTTGGTAAAAATATGGGGTATTCCATGCCAAATGAGTCAACGGCTGACCCTCATCCTTTCGGAAATTGATCTTGATTTCTTATACGATTGGGGGAGCTAAAAAAACCATCTCTCAATTTTTTTCAGATTTTTTCGACAGCTTATTTCGGAGATATGATTTTTTCTTTGATTTTTCGTTTTTTTTTTCAATAACTCGGGTTCTCTTCAGTCGATTTTTATTTAGGACGGCTCAAACTTTTCCATTTTCTATCATCTTTAAGAAGATTTTGGATAATTTTTTTTTAATCGCTAGGTCCTCATAATACCAATTTAAAAAAAAAATTAAGTAACTCGAATTGTCAAAATTATGTCACCTTTTACTTTTCTCGCCTTTTTTTCAGCAACTCTTACAATCCATATGAATTTTTTCGGGTCATTTCTCGACCTACAGTCACAAAACCCTTTTTTTTTTATTCATTTTATTTGCGACGATGTAGACTCCTTAAATTTAAATTCCGAGGAATTGAATTTCCTTCGTATCAGGTATTGCTGTGACGTGGCTCAAGGCTAACTTTGGAAACCGCCTGGAGTCGACAAAGCCCGAGGACTCTAAGTTCCTGACAACTCTGGAGCTCGCTGTTCGCTTTGGAAAGCCGCTTCTGGTGGAGGAGGTGGTGGAACTGCCGGCGATTCTGCTGCCCCTGTTGAGAAAGAGGTCCCTCAGGCTTGGGGACAGAACCCTTCCAGCTCAGAGTGGATTCAAGCTGTTCTTGGCAACGCGAAGGGACGGGCTGGATACTCTTCCCAGTGAGGCTGATGCTGTTTTATTCAAGATCACTCTCGGCGCGGGGAGCCGCAGTCTCGCTGAGAGATTCGTCGAGAAGGCGTTGTTGAGGGACACCCCAGAGCTGGAGAAGCAGAGGAGAGAGGCCCTGGAGCTTGAGGAGAAGCTCTCTGGGGAGAGGGACGCAGCGAGATTGGATTTGTTGGCTCAGTTGGGGGCCGCCAGGGGGCAGGATCTTCTGCAGGAGAGCCAGGACGGGGGTTTACTGAGTTCTTTGGAGACTACGCAAGCCAAGGCGAGGGAAATCGCCAAGGCCCTCGAGGAGAGCCGGCGGAGGAGGGAGGAAGTCTCCAAGAGGTCCAAGGAGCACGAGAAACTCGCCAAGTTTGCGGCTGGGGTCTTCAAGGCGGTGAAAAGTCTCACTGCTCTCAGCCCTCTCTACGTATTCTCAGTTGATTCCTTCACGGAGATATATCTGGAGGCTGATGCACAACGGGGACAGGGGGGCAGCAGTGATGCGAAGGAACAAGAGAGTCTCGTGGAGAAAAAGTGAGTAACTGACATTTCAGGAGCAAAGTGGTAAAACGATTTACTGCTCGATTTTTTTGGATGAGGTGATTAAGGATGTTCGACATCCTTTGAGCCAAAATTGACGTTGTTTTCATTTTTCTGGCAAATTATCGATGGGAGTGACGTGAAAAAATATAACGATTTTGTGGTTTGTCATTCTTTAATGGCTCACGAAGTTGCGTAGTGGTGCGATAATTTTCATGCGTTTTTTCTACAGTTTTGTGATTCTTTTTAAAAGTTTAGAGAAAACGCAGGAAAATGTTCGCACCACCTTAAAATTTCGTCAGTCATTAAATAATGACAAAACGCAAAAACGTTATATTTTTTCACGTCAATTCCATCATAAGTTTGCCAGAAAAATTAAAAAAACGTGAATTTTGGCAGAAAGGGTGTAGAACATCCTTAAGGATGTCTCAACAGGAAAAATTGTACAGAAAGTTGTATTGGATATTTTCGAGAGAAATAAAACATGAAATTCTTCAATCTAGTCAGCTAAAGATTGATAAGAGTTCAATAGAATTTCCTATAAAATTTCCTCGCGCATGCCTCCACAGATATTTTCGGCGAATATAGCTATTCGACAAAACGAAAATACAAGTCCTTCGATGATAATCGTTAATTGTTAATTGTTTAATTGTTAATTGTTTTTTTCGTTTTCATTATTCTTCCCAGGCTGATTTCCCTGACACTCCACCACTGCAGCAAGGCTGCGTACCGAAAACACAGGCTCCCCCTAGCCCTCCACCTGTCGTTATCCCTCGACCCAGTTCCCGAGAACGAGCGAAATCTCCTGCAAGACGGAGTAGTGCTCAAGAAAGAAGACGAAGACTCCAGAGTCCCCGAGTGGGTCCCTGAGGAGCGAAAGTCCGCTGTGAAAGCCCTCGCCTCGACTCTCCCCCAGGTCGCATCGAAAATAAAGTCCGATTGGCTGGAGGACCCGAAGAACATCTACAGGGATCCGACCCTGACGGCTTTCCAGAAGGTCCTGGCCGTTCAGGCGCTGCGACCTGACCATCTCCACAGTGCTCTCACGAAATTAACGGCGGAGCAGCTGGGAGTGAGGGATCTAGCCCCACCCCCCTGGAGCTTAGAGAAAATTTCCGAGAAGGGACAGAGGCCGGTTTTACTCCTGCTTTCCCCCGGCGCCGATCCTGGACCTGAATTGAGGGCTCTCGTCTCACGATTCAAACTGCCTGAGGGCTTCATCGAAGTTTCATTGGGGCAGGGACAGGTGGGGCAGGCTGAAGCTGCTCTGGAGAGAGTCTGCAGGTAATGAGATCCTTCAACATTGAATTCTCGAGAAAAACACGTACACTGAGAGAAAAACGACCAAGTCCTCCGATTACTGTCACTTGAGGCCAAAAATCACTAGTTGAAAATCACCAAAAGGATAATTTTTTGAGTAATATTTCCGTATCAAACGGAGATTACGAAATTTTCGAGATATTCATCTCGAGATTGAATCATCTCGCTTTATCACTTCACTGCAAAATTCTGTGACAAAGTAGTAAAACCGTTATGGTCAGACGTGTTTTCTCCCCCAAGTGCTTTCTACGCTTCCCAGCATTGGGATTCTGTATATTTTGTTTTACTGCTGTATATGAAAGGAGAATGAAATTTATTAGATATTCAACTATTCTTTCATCTTGGAGAATAATTAATGAAAAATAAGTTGAAGATAATAAAAGTACTTTTCGATAAAATTTAGTAATCGTTTTCAATATTATTCATCACACAGGTATTCGCTATAATAATAATAATAATAATAATAATAATAATAATAATAATAATAATATGAGGAAACATGAGAGAATGAAAATTCAATCGTTTGAAACAATAAAAAAAGACACAATATTTTTTTAATATTATTCAATTGGCTGTCGTTTATTGATTCATAAAAAAAAGGGAAGGGTTTTTTTTGTCATGAAAAAATTGTCTCTGAATCTACAGAAATGGTGGATGGTTGTTACTCAGCAATCTCCAGCTAGCCCTCAACTGGCTCCCCCGACTGGAGAGTCTCCTCCGAAGTTCAATGTGCACCAAAGACAAGAATCCTGCTACTCGTATTTGGCTGACTACAGAAGAATGCAGGGGATTTTACCCAGGGCTCGCTGGAATCTGCGAGAAGTTGGCTTATGAGCCTCCAGAGGGTGTCAAGAGGAACCTGAAGAGATCCTTGAAGCAATTGCAACAGCAGAAGAGTCAAGGAAATAATTCTGAGGGGCTTTTCGTACTCGCTTGGCTTCACGCTGTTTTACAGGAGCGAAGAAGGTGCGTCACTTCATGTAAAAACGGAATTTACAGAAAGAAAAACCCAATTCGTTAGAAAATTCTATTGGATTTCAATTGAACTTTCTATTATTTTTAGGGCAATTTTATTAAAAAATTCAATTTTCAATAGAAATGTTCAATGGGAAAGTCCATGAAAATAGTCAGCAGAATTTGATTTTTTTATACAATTCTATTCAATTCAAATATTTTCTCTAGAAATTCGTCGGCTCAAATTGTCCGAATTTTTTTCGTTTATTTTTTCAAATGAGAAGGCAAGAGAAATTAAATTTAAAAAATCGAAAAATTTCAGTTGTTTTAAATTCTCACGTCGCACCTGAATTTTCAGATTCGTTCCTCAAGGGTGGATTCGCCCTTACGAATGGAGTGAAGCAGACCTCGAGGCAGCTCGAGAACTAGTAGTGAGTGACCCCCAGACCCCAAAGTCAGAAGTTAATCTGGACTGGGAGGAGGGTCGAGGGCTGTTGGACGTCGCGATTTACGGTGGTCGACTCCAGGATGAGTTCGATATGCGAGCACTGGGTGCCATCCTGAGAAACACCTGGGCCAAAGAGGTCTTCCAAGGGCAAAGCAAACTGGCAGGAATTCTATCGGTTCCAGAGGCTTGCAGGAGAGACACTGCCAGAGCCATCGAGCAGTTGCCAGACTCTGACGCACCTGTGGAGTTCTTCGGACTTCCTGCCAACGCCCTGAGAGCCTGGGAGCGATCCGCCGCGGAGACAGCAATCTCTGTGCTAAAGTCCATGAGCTCGAAGGCCTCTTCGAGCATCGAGAGGAGAGCTGCGAGGAGAGTTGAGTCGAAACTGCTGAGGGATTTGAGTAATTACATTGAACAACAGAATTCGCAGGTCAAGGGGGCTGAGGGTACCCAGAGGGGAAATAATCCTGTGGAGAATTTCTTCATTGACGAGAAGAGACTGCTGAACAGATTGATACAGCTGGTTAAGAGCGATCTTGAGAATTCTGGGGTGGATGGGGGAAAGACCCCCAAATCCTGGCTGGAGGAGTGGCCCAGTGCGCCCAGGGAGGCTTTACTCTTCGTCAATGAATTATTAACGAAACACAGAGTTCTGAATGCTATGGAGAATGGAATTCCTCGGACTGTCGACCTGTCTTCTCTCACCAGAGCTAGGGCCTTTCTAGCTGCACTCAAGCAATTTACTGCTAGAGAGTCCGCGTCTCCGCTGGAGGGACTCGTGCTGAGGGCTCACTGGGTGCAAGGGGCTGAGAGGAAAGAGTGGGAGAATTCTATTGTCGTTGAGGGACTGCTTATCTCAGGTACTAGGTGGTTATAAGTCTGGAGCTAATGGGATAGCAATAGTGAGAAAAATTTAGTTAAACTTCATTCCTTAAATTTATTCAGTCTATGGTTTATTTTTTTAGGGGTTGTACTTAAAAGTAGAAATCAAATTATAAAGTTATAATATTTACTTCATTTAAGTAATGATATGAAGTGCATTGATTGAAGATTAGAATATTTTTGTGGAACTTCTACCAAAAATTTGGTAATTTTCACTCAATTCACTTGATTTCGCCGTATTTTACTATATTTTTTTCAAGTCTAGTGAAAATTACGATATTTCTATTAAATTCTTGCCTAAAAGAGTGTAATTTCTGGTAGACTATTGCTTTCAGCTACACGTTGATTATAATTGAATGGGGAATTCCAACAAAAAATTAAAATAAAAGTTCTGCAGCAAAATAATTACCAATATTTCTAATGCTTCTTTCTTCAGGTGCAGTAATCAGAGAGGGTTTCCTACGCGAATTAGACTCAAATGCACCCCCGATTGTAGCCGCACCTTGCTGTCAACTATCATACGTACCTGGAGAGACGGATGGAGACGATACAATATACAATAGACACAGTTTGAAGCATCAAATGCTAGAGATTCCTGTTTACTGTGATTCAGAGAGAAATGAACTCATCTGCTCACTTCCAGTTGGATGCCCCAGTGAGGATCGCGACGAGTGGCTGAGACGAGGGGTTACTATTCATCTTGGAGGACATTAGTCAATTTCAATCTATTCTTGAGTTATTATCTCCTAGTCACTACGGTAATGTAGATTAATTTCCATTCACTTCGATAATTAACTTATGACGAGTGAATATTACTATTCGTAAAGTGCTTTATTATCGTAAAATTTAATAAACTTTACAGCGCAAAAAAGTCTCTGTATTTATTCGTTTTTTTTTCCATTTTTAATCGAAGAAAAAATATAATGGTCTCGTCATTATCAATTACAATATTCTCTTGGATGATGTTTTCTTTCTCTCACATTTTCACTCGTTATATCGCTTGGTTTGTTTTTTTTCGTCATACAGTATCTAACGATTACAATAAGTAGACATTACGAAGTACGTTGAGATTCCATTGGAAAGTACTGAAAATAGTTTGTCGATTCAATCTAACGATTGAAACACAAACAAATTATTGATAATGAAAAAAAAATTCAATAATTAGTCGACATTGTGAGATGTCAATGAGTGAATCACATGATTGTTGGTAATTAATTTGATGAAAATAGAATTGATGAAAGTTTTATATTATTCAAACAATGGGATAATAACAATTTTAATTAATTTAAATAGTAGGATATCCATATGGTTTTCACTTCTGTTTTTCCGCGCAAAATTGTCGATTATTTCGCACATTCACAGCAACATTATCACTATTTCCCCTCCATTTATTTCCATTTTCATTCCACTTACGTTTATTACAAATATAACTTGCAAGAAGACCTTTTCATTTCTCTCTCCTCATTTCCATCGAACTTCTCCCATTATTTTTCAACAAATGGATTAATCTCGCTTTGGAAAAATATTCGACGTTAATAAATACAACTGGACACGTACTAGAAAATTTTCTAGAAAAACCTTGCGATTTTCATGGAAAATTCGATTGGATTTTTATTGAAAATTATATTAGTTTTCGGCTGATTCTGCTGAAGAATTTCGCAGCTTTAGTGCGCGTATTTTCTATAGAAAAGATGAAATAGACACTGCTTCATAGAAAAAATCAGTAGATTTTGATCTTCCACAGCTTTTTCTCGAGATGAATTTCCCAAATTATTTCCACTTTATTTTTCCTCTCTTTTAATTCAAGAAATCAAGCAAAAATACGGAAAAATATAGAAAATATCTCAATAGAATAAGTTGCATGGAAAAATTAAATTCTATCGATTCTAAGGATATGTTCTATTGAATATTTTTATCGAAAAAAAAGACACACAAGATTCTGTGGAATTTTCCAATACAATCGGTCGAAAACCGACAGAAAGTTAAATAGAAATCCAATACAAATTTCCAGTGAAATCGCTAGGTTTTTCTATGAAATTTTTTCGCACGTGGAGTCACGAATCGAACAGACGATCATCCACGATTATTACAATCTAGTAGGAATTTTCAAAATAGTGTTTCTCCCCCTCTATTCAATTCATTCGACACGCAGAGGATTTGTAGAAAAACATTTGTCTCTTTGATTAAATACAATTTTTCGTAATTTCAAGATTGTTTTTTCTATTTATCGAGACAAGTCTTTGATGATTCAGTGACAGCGTCTAAGTTAATCCTTCATATTTCGTTAATTAATTGATATTAGTCAGTAATTCGATAGGCGAATCAACTAGTAACTTATCGGTAAAACAATAACAAATGATAACAATGGTAGAGATTCGTAGAATTATTCTTTCACTTGTCTAGTGATAAAACGATTGTTTCAATATGATCTAGTTTTTAAGTCAGTTATTAATCTCTTACGGGATATCAACAGGCCGCACTTTTTCATTCTTCCTTCAAAATACATATGAGACCTTTTATAATACATACATTGTTCAACTACTTAAATTTTACATTTTTTCCTTCAAAATTTTACATCACTTCCTCCGTCGTTCCTGTCTCAAAATTTCACTGTCTTCGGTGGTTTTTTTTTTCGGTATCAAGTTTCAATGAGGATATAAAACATCTGGTGGAGGTAACTTTTTTCAACAGCTCCAATTTTCTCGTCGCCTTAGCGAAAGAATACTCAATTTCAAGCGTAAATAATTCGTAAAATGAGATGAAAACATCACTTGATGCTGAATAAGCTGAATAAGCTGTTCTCCTCGTTACACAGACTAAGAATTTAATCTTCTCGACCCATTTCAGCTGAATCTCACTCTATTTTCCTCATCCAGGTATATTTGAGAAGCTCATCCGCAGCTGTGTTTGCATCGACGAAATTGTATTGAAACTTCACTATCGCCAGTGAAGGAAAAAATAATTGGAGGTATCCACTACAAGTTCTAGAAAAATTGAAAACTCCCCGAGAGTTATGAATAAAATTGATGTTTGATTTAATTTTCCAAGACTATAATTGACAAACACTGAAGAAAAGTAACGAGTAATTTAGTAACAGTCAAATTTGTAAAAGTGAATAGTGGAAATAAATCCCTTCATCTCAACAACAACAGGAAAGTCTAAACATAATAATTTTTCGTGATTTTTTTTTAAATCGGGGATCTCTTGTAACGTGAGAGGGGTCGGTGAATTCGATCTGGATTATCATCGTTGATTGTCCGACTTTTTATTTGAATCTATAAACGTAAATAATTGGATAATCCAGATCGAATTAGCGCCCATTAGGAAGGCAATACTGTGTTACAATTTTTTTTTCTCTCCACTCGTTAACATTCCCACCCGCCCCCTATTAATTGCTCGATTAAGACAATTACATATTCACTACTTGATACATATTTTTTTAACTAGCTAGAGTGTTAATTCAGAGTGGACCATAAAAGGCATTTGTTGACTCGTTTAAGTACAAGAAGATAACTCGACAATGTGGCATTGATAAGTCGATCTTGTTGGAGTTGAGTGAGAATGGCAATGTCTTTGCATGTAACGATCGGTCACTCTTTCATATATAATTGTTCAATGTACAGTGGCTAGAATGAATTTTAGATGTACACAGGCCGGGTTTCGCATTTATTTATAGGGGAGACAAAAATTTCTGTACAATTTTTTGGTTCTCAGCAGGTGTATACACATGATTGTACAGCATTACCTAAAGCCAAAATTAAGGTACCCAATTCTCTAACATTTTTGGAGTTTTCCTCTGCCATTATCCTCTCAGCACTTCACTTCGCGTTTTTATCCTATCGATTGCCGTGAATTAAAGCGAAATTCGTGAATTATAGAGCATTGTACACTGTTGAAATTTTTGGATGAAATTTCAAGGAATTTTGTCATTGAGAAGTGAAAATTTTATGGAAAAATCAGTGGAGGCTTCAATTTCAGTTCAATTATTCTATGGAAATTAATAGAAATTGGAAAAATTCATTATTAAAAAAATTATTAGAAAAATTCATGATTAATTGAAAATTTAGGGTAATTTAGTATTAAACATTCGTGTTCTAATTGAAAATTGAAGTCATCTTGAGAATTCTCATTTTTTCGTTGCTCGCAAATTTGGAATTTCATAGAATTTTTAGTGAAATATAAAATTTCATGATTCTGTTCGCTCTAAATCGAATTCAATGCATTCTATCTTGAAAATTATCAGTCAACTGCCCACAAAAAATGGAATTTTGTAATTAAAAATTCCAAATTTTATGGAAAAATGAATGGAAACTGTAAACCAGCAAAATTCAGATGAATATATTTTTGTTTTGATTGAAAATTCAAGTTAGTTTGGGAATATTCATTTTCCTGCTGCTCGTTAATTTCGAATTTCATTGAACTTTCAGTGAAATTTAAAATGTCCTGATTATTTCTCCCTCTAAATCGAATTGAATGTCACTCTCCTGGAAATTACTACTCAACTGTCCAAGAAATTTCAATTATTTTTCTAACAGTGTAATCTGTAAACTGTCACCTGAGGAAGTATCTCTATGAAATGAAAATGGTAAAATCATTCCTCAAGAACAATTTCAATAATTCCTTCAGATATTTCTGTTATTTCACAGGGGAAAAATCATGGGCATGAAGTCCGTCAAAAATTATTCATAACTTAGTCCCTCATTAAGTAGTTTAAATATAATTTAGTATAGTTTAGCAATAGACCGTCTCTAAGAACTAATTGGTGTTCGTACGTTGATCCCCATTTTTTTCATTTTGGTACCGATAATTAAATTCAATATCTCTTCCACCCCCTCACCGCCCAAAATTATTCCTCTCCTTCTTGTAATACCAACTGACGAATTAGACACGCTTTAGGTCTACAATTCAATAGATGTGATCTGATTGCGATACATTAATTAATAGATTTATGCCGAGGTCCTTCGAGTAAATTCCAACCGGCACAATTAATACTTTTTTTTTCATAACTTTAAAATCGACTTGATTATCATCTGACAAAGAGATTCATTGATGAAATAACTCCTCATCATAAAATCGTTATTAACAGTTCGATATTATTTACTCTCATCACGATTACCATCACGAGATGAATTATCTTATGTTATAAAAAGACAAAACAATCGTCAAATTTCCTCACAATCGTGAAGATACAGATGTGTGGATTGTTAATCATTTGGTGAACGTTTTTGTAAATATATACTAATATTAATTTTCGAGGTAATTAAAAATAGAGGATCTTTCAATCGAATTTCTTAAAATCATTGTTTCATACATTGTGTTAAACGTCTAGTAGAGATATGCCGATCCTGAGCCGTTCACCTCATTCCATTTCAAGGAATCCAACGACTCAAGGATTTTATTAAAATGGACCCCTAAATAGCTTAGACCCGAGCAGCCTGAATAAAGCGTCTCAAGTTGATATTTTCAAACATTGAAAATTCAAAATCACCTCTGATGATGTCTCAAAACACAGCGAGAGGTCAGGGAAGGTTCTGCATGTCCTCTGTCACCAGTTGAAATTGCTCTTGACCTGCGAAAGAAAATAATTCGCGTTTTGTAATCGAGAATTTTACCGAATGCTTTTCATCGTGCTACATTCATCTTTGCATTTACTGTGGAGATATGCTGCGAGATCCCTGTCTTCAGCAATGAGGGCCAGCTGCTGTGCTGTATTACCGTGCCGATCTCGAACAGTCAGGGTCGCCCCTCCGGCAACCAGCATGCAACAGATTGAGCGACGTTTTTGTTGGGCAGCCTTGTGCAAAGCCGTCTGTCCCCTGGAGCAGTTTTTTTTTCTTTATTAAAAATGAATCCTCTGCAGGTGCTTTTGAGATTTCAGAATGAGTGGAGTTGGTGAAATGGAAGGAAAATAAATGGATGCTAAAGTGTGAGGGATATTCCCAACATCTGAGAGATTAATTACGATTGAGGGAAATGGAAATGATGAGTTTGTTTCGCTTGATGAATTAGAAAAATAAAAAGTTGTGTATTTTTGCAAAATGTCTAGGGATTTTCAGGAAATTTTCGAAATTCCGAGTCTTTTCCGAGGAATTTTTCTATAGAAAATACAGTAGACTGCCGTTACAGCCGCACTCGTTACAGAGTCGCGACTGTTAGGAGGCCTTGTCTCTAAATTCCAAAAAGCCGAAAAATAAAATACTCTAAATATGAATTTTCGATCACAAAATTCAGTTCTCTTTAGACTGTCATGGAGAGAGCTTCTAGTTTTGTTGGGATGAGTTGAATTAGATAATGTATTCAGAATGAAGAAAATAACAGCAAGATTACCGATAAGAAAGTTTTAAAAAAGAGAATTAAGCGGAATCTTAAAACTAAAACTAGAGGACCAAAACCACTGTGATAATGAAAAAAGTTTTTTGATAAAAAAAAATCGGCTGATTATAAAAAAAAAACGTAATTAAATGTAATATAAATAACGTAATGACTAAAATCATTTAACAAAACGTTAAATTCAATAAGAGGGAAATTAAATCTTTAGTATTTTTATTTTATGGCTTCAGTTCTCAGAAATCTCACTTCGTGCGAGTGCGTGGTGGAAGTAGTGAAATACAGTCGCATTCTTCGAATTCACTCCCCCTATTCCCCCACGAGTGCGACTTTACCAGGAGTCTACCGTATATCAAAAAGTCCAATTAAAAATCCAAATAAATAGAAAATTCAAAAGAAATTGTTATACGTCAACAATATCTGCTGTCAAATGTGTAAACGTAAATTCGTGAATTCTCCTTAAAAAACCCTGAGCATTCGTGCAGAATTTCTCCAAACAACGACATCAATCGATTCCTCAAAGAAACGAGAAAGTCAACTCACTTGTCGTTATCAACCATATTGAGAATAGTAGAAGGTGCACAGGCGATGAGATACCTAACGATATCCTTGTGCCCATGTCTGGCAGCGATGTGCAGAGCCGTCTGTCCACTGGCATCGATGGACAGAAGTGAATACCCCCTCTCATGAAGTTCCTTGAGTGTCTTTAGATCCCCAACCTTGGCCGCCCTGATGATTCCGTCCGAAGTCTTCTCGAGAAGACCACTATTGAAGGTGTGAACCTCCGACGACAGACTGAACAGCCTGTCCCGAGGGCTGATGAACGTGGAGCCCTGATCCCTGTGTGACTGCCCAGGCCCAGAGATGTGTTTGGACGAGCTCTGTTTCCTCATACTGTCTTCATTGACATCCTCAAAGCTCTTGCGGTCCTTCTGCAAGTCGAATCTCCTCTCGGAGACTGAATCGAAGCTCTTGGCCTTCTCCACAGCCTCTTTTCTCTTCTCAAGGGGCGCTCGAGGCCCCTCGTCACTCACCAAAGTGGGTCGCAGTGATTTCTCCTCGCAAGGGGATGCCTGAGCTGTCTCCGGCTCAGGATGACTCGCTGTGTCCGATTCATTAGCTGTCTGACTACCAGAGTCCTCATCGAGAATGTAAACCGCCTCGGCAGCGACATCAGTCACGTAATGGAGCTGCTCCTGGGCTCTATCGATCCTGAAGAATCTCTCTGCTGTGTAGGAATCGAGGAAACAACACGAGTCCATCGGATACTCCTTCGCCAACATCTGTCTCAATGACTCGAGATCCATTGTTGCTTCGAGATCCAGGGGCTCCGCCCTCCAGGCAACAGCTGCCTTTCTCAGACGATGTTTGTCCGAGTGGTATGCCATGTAGTCAGCCATCTTAATCCTCATTAGGGGTAATTTCAAACTCTCCAACTTGGCTCCAACATTCTGAGATGGCTTGCTCGTTCTTCTACGCTTTGCCAACATCGTCGCTTTGTTCAATAGTTTAATATCAATTATCGAGGGAAGCAAGCGACATGCCTCACCGTCGACCTGTGAAAAATACATTTCACTGGTATTGTTGGCAAGTTTGCGAACTGTAATTAACCGGGGAATTGGAGGAACTCGGGGAAATTTGAGATTTCGAATTGTGTAACAAGGAAAGTTGGCACATCCGTGACCTCCGGGAATGAGAAATATGGATTATTCTGTTGGTAAAACGTTTGTTTGGGGCTGTGGGGAGCGCGAATGGAGTTGCGGAATTTATTAGGCTGCAGAGGGAATCGGGGAGTCGTTTTTGAGATGTTGGTTGACACCAGTTTTAGGGAAATATTGAAAGTAAATGGGGATTTTATGATTAGAAATGTGGATTATTTAACTTTGTGAACTGAAGAGCGTATCTGCAGATTATTTAAGCCGTAGAGATGATGCGTGTGTGAATTCTCTTTGAGAATTTACGGTGCGATTAGGGTTTTCCAGCCGTTAGTTACTCAATTCGAAAAAATGTAATTGAAGAACTTGACGTTTTCTCGTAGAAATTATATTGAATTACTATTTTTACATTTAAAAACTCAATTTGGTTTTCATGTGAATTCCATTAAAAATTATGCAATTTGTTGTACATTTTTTAATAGATATTTTTTATAGAAAAGCGTCCATTGATGTTCATGTAACTCATTCCATTGGGATTTTTCTGGAATTATTATTTCCAGAATTCTTGGACATAAATTTCCCAAGTTTTTCTCTTTGGATTTTATTATGGGAAACAAATAAAAATAGGGCGGAAAAAGCTAGGAAAATTTCTGCGGAGGGATTTCTACAAAAAAATCGAAATCTATAGATTTTCTTCTGACAAATATCTTTTGATAAAATGATACGGTAGAGTTGCGAAATCTTCATTAGAATTGTTATGGAGTTGCAATAAAAATTCAATAGAATGTTCTAAAGGAAGAAATGATGATTATTTCCATACGTAATTACATAATTATTCCTATTATCTTTAAATGGAATTAAGTATCATCGGACGAGAGAATTGTTCTCATCATTTACTGAAAATTTTCTAAAATATTGATTCTCGAACTGCTTTCAAATAGGGCAATCTCATTCAATTGAATTCCTTGAAGGAACCCTTCTCACTTTACGTCAAACGTTATACCGAACGAAATTCCAGAATGTTCGCAATCTTCTACCCAACAAACACAAAACAAGGGGATCAATCGGAAACTTGTTCGTTCGATTCCGTAAAAGGTCACACCCACAGCGACCCGCCCCTCCCACCACTCCGCAAATGTCGCAAAAGTGCCTCGACAACTTAAGAATGATTCGACAAATACTAGAGAATCATTTCGACCGTGGTACCAGGGAAATAAATCGTCAAGAGAACTGATCGTTAGAATAAACAGAATAAGAGGGAACCATCATCACCTGAACGCCTCACTCAAAAGAATGTCAATGATCCCAGATGCGAGCTGCAACTGCGGGGCAGAATCCCAGGACATTGACAACATACTATGGCAATGTCCCCTTCTGAATCTGCAGAGATTAGAACTACAAGCACGAAAAAATTTAATAGAAAAACCTATCGAATTCGTTAGAAAATTCCATTGAATTTCTATTAAACTTTCTATTCGTTTTTGTCTGATTCTATCGACATGTTCAATAGAAAACATTCAAAAGAAAAAGTCAACAGGATTCGATTTTTCTATATAACTTATTCTTCTCATATATTTTCTATAGAATTTGCTCGACTCAAATTTTCCAAGTTTTCTCATTCTATTTTTTTTTCTTCTCATCAAGAAAATCAAACGCAAAAACTTGGAAAATTTGAGCCGAGGGAATTTTATAGAAAATATCTCAATAGAATAAGTTATATAGAAAATTTTTCTATTGAACATTTCAATAGAATCGGCCAAAAACTAATAGAACAGTTCAATAGAAATTGAATAGAATTTCCTAATGAATTCGATAGGTTTTTCTATTAAATTTTTTCTTCCGTGTAACCGAAGCTCTCACAGCGATAGACAAATTCTTCACAAAGTGTAAGCTCCGCATATAAAAGGCGAAATGTATTTTTAAAAAAACAACGTAAAAAGAAAATGTACGACACCCTATCGACAGCGTAAATAACCCTGTTATGGATTTTATACTATAAACCAATGAAAAAAACAAAACTTAAGAATGATTTACCTGCATCGGAATGGTTCTCGTAGTGATTAATTTAGCTGTGCTGCACTGAGTGATGCAGGTGCCATGGCCACCGGCCTGCAATAGTGGAAGTTGATAAGTGGTAAGACCAACGACTTCAAAAAGCCCATCGTCAGTCGCTGGCTCCTTGGTCCCACTTCCACCTCCCCAGGGATGTGTGCCACCACCGTATGACGGTATATTGAGAAAGACAATGGCGTGCACACGATGCTCTTTGAGCTTTGGGGTCATGTCTTGGCCGTCGCACTCGAGTGTCACGAATTCGGACAGATCCTTCCATTTCCGGAGGACTAGATCTTTACCCCCCATCTGGCCATAGAACATTTTATTCCGGAGGCGAGAGTTGAATTTTTCAGGATGTGCCTCTGTGGGGATTAATTGGAAATGCTTCAACTTCCAGGGGATGAATTATTCACAGCGAGGGCTTTGGATTAATTGAAAGTGTGTGAAGTTGTGCAATGTTTAGTAATGGGGTAATTATCGTGGAAATGAACAGTTCTGGTTATACCCAGGGGCCTTTGTAACTGAGGAAAACCTTCAGCAGACATCGGCATAATCATAATTTTGAAGTAAAGTTGAATTTTGAATGAGTCAGTTGTTAATATTACTCACCAATTTTTCGATTATTAAAATAATCATCAATTTAAATACTCAAATTCCGAGTTTTTTGATTGAGTATTAGAAACCGATTTACAAGGTTTATTAGCTATGAATTAAATATAATATCTAGTATATTTCAATGTATATCATTAGTTGGCGTTCATCAGATTTTCAGATAACATTCTTTGAAGAACTTATCAATAGTATCGATAATAATGAGATTCAACTCAAATTCCGAATTATTTTATCAATAATTGAGAAATTAAATTACCAATTATTATATTATTTTTCAAATTTCAATGAAGATGAGTAAATCTTAATTATTGTGAGCTGTAACTTCTCACAATATTTCTAAAGTAATGATTGATGCCGATCTATGAGCTTAAGGTTTTTTGCCGATTGCCCCTATGTTCTTCAAGAATAATATTTGTAATATTCCTCAGCTATTAAAAAAAAATCTGACTAGCTGTATTATACAGTTTCTGGCACGTGAGGCATCGGCCAAACGGGGGTCATGCGTCCCCCTGAATTCGCTGTTCAAATTTTATAGCAGATAGTCTCAACGAAATTCAACTCTAAAAATGAGAATTTCGTGAGATGAATTCTTATTCGATTCAAACAATTGATCAACAAATAATTTCATATTCCATTCAAACAACCATTGTTGCCTTCATTAACACCATATGAGGCTAGAAAAACTCAATGACTCAATTACTTATGAGAATCCAATAAATTAAATCATTTAAAATTTTTTCCGTGAATCCACAGGGACTAACTTTTAGGTGGTATTATCTTGGGAGATACCTTAACGCAAAACATCTGTTGGCATCTCTCTAGATTTCGAGATTTCCCAAAATAACTTGATATTTTTTCACCACAATGCGGATATTACATTTACGGAAGTATGATATTAATACAGTACTATAATAAAACGTTGTCCAGTAAAATCTGAAATGAGCAAAACGAAAAAAACTTGTTCGTTTCTTGAATAATTTTTAAACTACTTTTTTCGCATGATTTTGCAGTCTCCTGCTCAAAATTCTAGTTTTGAATTTTGCGTAATAAATACACCTTTAAAAGAGTCTCCAGCGCATGAATTTTAGAAATTATTTCCACGTGATTACCAATTTTTGCCTCCACAAACGAAAAAGTTATTTCCCTCTGGTGCACCTCCCCTCAATTTCTTCTAAAATCAAAAAACAATAATTGAAATAGATCAATCAAGCACTCACCCCTCGCCTCATGAAACTCCAACGCAATATGCGCATCAACCCCAAGCGAGAAATAATTATTCACGACATTGAGTGGCAGATTTTCCTTCCCCTTTCCCCCATCATCGTCCCCACTGGCATCGGGATTTCTCTCGACATTGACTTCCCATCTGTCAAGAAGTGTTGTCTCACTGTCACCAATGTTTGATAGAATTTTTCCAATGGGCTCATCCGTGTAGCCACCGCCCCACCCAAGTGCCCTGGCAAGATCGTTGCCAGTGCCGAGTGGTAGTACCCCAACGGCGGGTGGTGGTGACGCACCAATTTGATCGAGAATTGACAAAACCCAGCCAACAGTGCCATCACCCCCGCACGCCAGTACCCGAACATTTGGCACTTTCATGAACAATTCAAGTCCCATTTTGGGGCCGCCCTGTGTGAGATCAAACACCTGTCGTGGATTCAGAAGCCACTGAAACTTCTGGAGTAACTTAGCCCCTTGATTGCCCCCAGATTTTGGATTTATGAATACGACAACTGGACGAATGTTGGGGGAAGGAATGGGCTTTATCGCCCACAATTTTCCCTGATCCTTGTCGTCCTTGTCCTTATCACCACTCTTGCTCTTTCTCCTCGATGACGCACCCGTTCCAGCTCCGCCCTTCTTCTTCCTCGGTGATTTGCGTAAACTACTCTTGAAACTACCCTTTCGCGGCAGCTTGACGATCCAAGACGGCGGCACCATGATCGTACCGTGTATACCCAATTGACAATTCTCACCAACTCTATCGACATTGAAGCACGCCTCCTTATTGTGATAAGCCTGCTTACACCAGCTACAACTAACAGCCACAATTTCCTTGGAACTGAAACTCAATTTCGATTGAAATGCTTTTGAGCAATTGGCACATTTGCCCTTCTGCGAGCGACGATGCACCCAGTGGTGGTGGGTCGATGCTTGTTCACGATATTGACGGACTCCAACGTCTCGAAAACTTGGTTTACATTCGAAATTCAAATTTCCGGCGCACAGGGCGTGTGCCACCACCCGGCATGCTGCGCACTTCAGCCTCGGTCCGTGTTTCTGTGGACAGGGAAAAATCAATAGGTTTTTAGAATTTATTTTTCAGGATTATTCTTTTTTCTTCCCAATGGAAGATTTGCAATAACGCAAATTTCAATTTCCAATTCAGTAGCGAAGTGGTCAAACGGTTTAAGTCGATTTTGGTTATTGGCCAGTTTTCAATGAATATCTCGAAATCTAAGGGAGGTGGCTAAATTTTTCTCACAACCTTTTTAGTAGCACTCAATCCGCTCTGCAAAAAAGGTCATTATGAAAATTTCGCCATCTCCCATAAATTCGGAAATATTTATGGAAAACTCAACTCAAGACTAAATTGACTTGAACCGGTTGACCACTTCGCTACTGAATTTTTTGTGTCAGGATAACTAAATGTGTTTTTCATTTTTTTTTTAATTTCCTTATAAGGGATCAATCGAATTTCATGAATTTTTTCATTAATATAGACTTTAATGAGCTCTATTCATTGACACCAATTAAAATTTAATTTTTCATGCAAATTCGAAAAAATTGGTATTTTTCGAAAATTTGATTTTTCAACGATTTTCATGGCTCAAAAAATTGATAGCGATACCCTCGTGATTCTGTCAGAATATAGTGACAATCGCACAGTTCGTTGCTGAGTTATAACACATGATTTATGCGATTTGACAGAGAAAATCGGTTTTTTCATGATTACTAAAAGAATCACCAGTAAAATCAATTAAATCAGGGCTTGAAAACTATCTTTCAATGCCTTCTTAATCAAGTTGAAAAATGGTGAGAACAGCATCACAAAAAAATGCAATTGTCTAGTTGTTTAATGTTTTTTCGTCGTTCTTCTTTCATTTTATTGAAATATAATCAATGTCTTATCCACTATTTTCTGAATTTTACGAAAAGAATAGTTTGAATTCTCCGCGCACAAGAAATTTGGTAAAAAAAACCTAGCGAATGCGACAGAAAATTCTATTGGAGGAAATTCTATTCGACAGAAAATTCTATTCGTGTGCCACCGCCTGTCACGCTGCGCACTTCAGCGTGGGTCCGTGCTTCTGTAGACAGGGGAAAATCAATATATTTTTAGAATTCACTTTTCTATGGAAAAGTTATTTTCCCATTGTTTTTTTTTCGTTGCTCCTCTTTCATCCTATTGGAATATGATCAATATTTTCTCTACGGTTTTCTGAGTTTTGCGAGAAAAATAGGTTGAGTGGTCCGCGAACGAAAAATCTGGTAGAAAATCTAGCGAGAATTGGATGAAAAATTTTATTGGAGACCTCCAAAGCTTTGCTACGTGTTTTTTAAACAGAAAACGGTCAGTAGAAACGTTTTTATAGAAAAAATCAGTAGAATTTCGTCTTTCTATACAACTTTTTCTGTTGAGACATTTTCACATGCACTCTCCAATACCTTTGTATTGACAGAATGAAATGCAATGGATTTCATTTCAGCTCGCGATCCTTCTGCAAGCATTAAAAAGCTATCAACTTTTGTAGATGCATATTGTTTGTCCACCAGATCGATTCTCCCCTCATTCCTATATCACACGTTCCCCGGGATCTCATTGAGCACGCTATCATTCTCGAACAGGAATAATTTTTCATTTCTCCACAGAGTAAATACATCAAGTGGTTCGATCACCGGACGACCTAAACAACTGGTCCATTCACCTTCAACCATAATATTATCCTATGATTTGGCAAGCGAAACAAATTCACAAACGCTCCTCGAAGCTCAATATGCTATTCGTGTTTGACTTACTCCGTCGATTGGCGAAGCGAATTGCTCGACAATATTGAGATAGTAACGCCCCCGCAGTGCAATTAAAACCAGCTCGGGGCATAAAATTTCCAAAGAGCTCATAAATCTTCCTCAAAATGCTGACAATTTCTCCGCCCAGTGGAGTGTTAGAAAAGGAATGGAAATGGATCAGGAAATGTATCACAATTATAAAATTCTGTAGGTTAACTTTTACTTTTCTTCCTTGATTAATAATATTCAAGTCCTTTGGCCATTTTTTTCCAGTGAAATGTTTTTCTACTTTTGTAGTCGAACATTAGAGCTTTCATTTGAACCCCATTCGACCCCAATTTTTTGGACGACTTACAATGATTTTATTATTTAAAATTTGCAGGTTTCAATGGGAATCTTGATATTAAACTATTAAAAAACATTTTAAAAATCTAAAAAAAAATGAGAAAGTTTACCTGTGGAGGAAGATTGGTGAAATAATTTTAAAAGCGCAATTCTTGAAAATTACGAGTATCTTCTGTCAATAATTTCTAAACAATCAATTTTCCGTCATAAAAATCATTCGTTCGAAATTGAAAATTCGTTATTGAACTCACTGAAATTCCAAATTTTTGAGCTGCAGGAAGACAATTGCCCAATTTGCTTGAATTTAAAAAAAACCTGAATATTCAGTACCAAATTACGCTGAATCCTCAGTCAATTGTAAACTCAGAAATATATCCAACTCAATTTGCCTGTTTTCTATGAATTCTCATGAAATAATGGAACTAAAAATCACAGTTTCCATTAATTTTTCCATAAAATTCTGAATTGTCAATGATAAAATCCCTCGTAATTTCCCTGAAACTAAAATCGCGATAAAAATTTCCAAGAACAATACCGGATATTTCGAGCAAAAATTTCGAACAGGGTATTCTTAAAAAAAATTAACACCCCATGAATTATTTTCATTAAAACAATCAATTCAGTAAAGAAGGAAAAAGCCAGAAGGGTGAGTGCTCTTAATTATTGCCATGAATTTGCAATTTAAAGTAGCTCCACGTGTGCGCCATGAATTAGCACATAAACGGTCATACATTCTTTCTGTTCACACAAATGTCACCGGAGGGTGGGCAAACCTCCTCTTCCAGTCTCATTTTAAAGCTATTTTCCATGGTTCATTCGGCGGGTGGAATACGGAGATAATGAGACCACATGGAAATGAATAACTAGAAATAGGTCGAAATACATCAGATGAGGATTTAACATGTGTACCGAATGTATTTCCCAGGGTGGCTGAATATAATCAAGTATGAATCTCACACGTGAATTATACAATTTTCATGCGCCCAAACAAACGACAAATTTGAATGGAACTTTTCTGCTCATTTCAGATTTTTTTTTTGAATTTACTAAATCTATTCATTTATTCAAATGAACGATTTATTTGGCCCGAACGCAGGATTATTGCGGTGTTTAAAGAATCGTCTGAATAACGTGTTGGAAAAAATTTTAATGGAGAAACCTGCAACTTTGCCTCGAGTTTTTCAAAAGAACTTTTTCAACAGAAAAAAGTCTATCGATATTGATTTTCTATAGAACCTATTCTTTTAGGGTTTTTTCTCGACAAGAACCTTTGGACTAGCATTTTCCGAGTTTTCTTCTTCGATTTTATTGTGAAAAACTGATAATAATGCGGCGGAAAAAAATTAAAAAATTGATGTCTAAGAGTTGCTGTGGAAAAATAAAAATCTATTAGCTGCACTTTATCACATTTTTCCCAATGACTTCGCCGATCAGTAAATAACTGGAAAAAGTGAATTTTTCGTGATATTTCCGGTATTTTCATATTGAAGAAGTGAGAAAAATCTGGCTAAATATTGCCTGCATTTCATTTTCTCGTCAACCCTTTGGAGGATTATAATTATTCCGGGGAGGTAATTTTATGCAAGTGGGAGCTTTAATAAGATTCTACCTCGCCATTCCCTCCCCATCTGGCCCTCCCCGGGGGGTACGGCTATTACGACTCTTGCGTGTCAATCTGAAGCCCTGGAAATGAAAGGAAAGAGAGAGAAACAGAGAGAAAGAGAGAGAGAGTGAAAGACGCCACTGGAGAATGAACGACGAGTGATACAGGGGCAAGGGGGAGAAGGTAAAACGTTTACTCAACAGGGTGAAAAAAAGATCCTCCAGATAATGCGAGTTTATAAACAGTCAAGTGGATGGAAAATGAGATTTTTATGGGTGTAAATAAAACAATGATTTCCTCTACACTTTCCAATTACAAGGGGGTGGCGCACAGTAGTTTGTTACATGTTCTCTTCCGCCTCTCTCGTTATGTCGTGCCGCTGGGGGAATATCGATGTTACATTAATGCACGACTTAAAACGCCGAGTTATTGACGCGACCCCACAACAGGAAAGCACTAACGACCTGGGGATTTATGAATTGCAGAGTATTCAAATGCACACGAAGCGAGAAAATAAAAGGGCGGAGAGTGTTTGCTTGAAGAGTTGAAAAGCTCGGTTGAAAATGGTTCTTTCCGTTCGGAGCTTTTTTTTATTCCTTCGTGAAAGGAGTTGAGAAAGTTCAGTCGAGAATGAATAATTCGGTTTTTTTAAGTAGTTGTAGCACTTTTGAAGTTTTATTTTGGCTCATAGGAGGCATTCGTCTTTACGTAATGCACCTCGTGTTGAAGTTTCGCGTTGGTTTGATGTTTAGTAGGGGATATTGGCTCTCAAAGGTTCATTTTAACAGGGCATGCCTATTTTAATGCATTAAGTATAGCAGGAGATGGAGTGAAATATTTCCAATCGTGAGATTAAAAAGCCAATCGTGAAATTTTCAAATTGAATAAAATAGTTTCTAATTATTCCTTGCAACATGATAGCTTCTTCCAGATATTTCCTGTGAATAAATAATGGATCATCATTTTTTCCACGATTTGAGAATGAATAATTCGGTGTTTTTAAGTAATTATAGCACATTTAGATTTTTTTTTGTTCATAGGAGGCATTCGGCTTTACGTAATGCACCTCATGTTGAACTTTCGCATTGACTTGATGTTTAGTAGGGGATATTGGCATTCAAATGTTCATTTTAGCAGGTCATGCCTATTTTAATACGTTAAGCATAGCAGGAGATGTAGTGAAATATTTCCAATTGCGAAATTAAAGAGTCAATAATTAAATTTTCAAATTGAATAAAGTATTCTCTAATTATTCTTTGCAGCATGATATTTTTTTCCGAATGTTTCCTGTGAATAAATAATGGATAATAATTTTTTCCATGATTTGAGAATGAATAATTCGTTTTTTTTGAAGCAGTTGTAGCACATTTGGACTTCACATGGTCCAAATATCCGGAAAACCCAATTTTTACATCGTTATGGAATCGATTCCCGAAAACATTCTGAACATACCTAAGTTTAATACAAATTTAAGGAAATAATTTCTGGAGTAGAAAATTTTTCCGTAATACTGACGCACACTAGTGACGACGCAGTAGTTGCGTCCTCTATTGTCAGCCAACTGTTTGACTTATTCCCATATTACGAATGTTTTCAATTGTCTGAAGTACTTCAGCGTCAAATCAATTCCGTTCTTCCCCTGAGAAGTTCGAAATATGACACATTACTCGACGAAAAAGCAATCTTCTGACACATGTGATAAGAAGCCCTGTCTCCAGCTCAAAAGATGAACTCACATCCACCAAAAACCCCGTTTTCTGCCTAGTCATGCAGCATACTATGTTAACAGTAACAAAAATGACAGCTGATCGCCAGCACAATTGTCAATGGAGGAGATCGGCGTAAGTGATTAGTAATTCATTGTAAAAGTGTGAGCAAAAAATTCTTGAAAATATTAGTATTGATTAAAAATATTATCATTGATTAAAAACGCTCTCTCAACATGTTAAGAATTTTTCTTACTTACTTTTCAAACAAATCAATTTAAATTTGCGGTCTACATTGATTGTTTCTTTAAATCTTTACTCCAATGACTCAATTCCCTAGAATTTCAGTGGAACTGAATTATGATGAAAAAGTTGCAAGAGGTATGCTCGAAAAAAAGGCAATTAATCACTCATTTCGTTGCCACCAAAGGCTCAAAATCAACTGAAAATGGAAGCCCCATAAAGTAGAGAATTCCCACCGAATAATTGTTCCACCCGACCACTACCATTCACTCCTCCACAAAATGTGGTAAAAGTAGAGAAGAATATAAGTTTTTTCGAGGTGGAAATACTTATTTCGAATCGTGCAAAGTTTGGGAGATAAATGGGCCGTCAGTCTGCCTTATCCCCTGGAAATTCTCTCCTCCGAGGTAAATAATATACCCAAAGATATTCAATCTCAATGTTTACGACTTACTGAACAATCATTGGCGTAACAGAAATCCCCAGAAGCTGCAGTGGGCACCCATAGATGCTCACCATTGACGGCATCGGGGCCCCAATCCGGGGTTGATCTTGGCTCTCTGCTGCCACTGGCAGCCTCCTCCCTTCCTCTGTTGATAAATGAAATAAATCAAATTAAAATACGTAATAACCCAAGATAACCCCGAGCAAACCCCATTATTTTACTTATCATTCACCGAAATCCGGTTAAACTCAAGAGAAATATTTTCCCATCCACTTCCCGGAAGGGGGAGTAAAATTAATGTGAATGGAGGGAGAACTTGATCGAATAAAATATCTCCGTGGAGCACAGATTCCCTTGTAAAAGTCGTTTCTAAAAATTTCAGTTGTTTTCTACCCCTCCAGCGACTTTTGTTCTATAAAAAATCACAAAGCCACACGATTCCCCTCTTGCCCTAACAATTTTTTCTTCCCTTTTATCATTTTTTCTTTATTCTTTTCACTCCAACATAGTCCTCTTCAACCCGTTTCCCTACAAACTTTTTCAATTTAATTTCACCCGCAAGAGCCGAGAGTTCACGGGTCTACAGACTCCCCTCTCGAGTTGGAACAAAAAGTGGAAAAATTGAATAGAAAAAAAAACCTTGCATAAAGTTCTACTTCAACTGCCCGAACTTCTTCAGGACTCCTCATGCGGGGAATCCTTGGATGTTTCGAATTATCGAGGATAGTATCTGACCTTTATGATCTACTTATCTGGATTCTGTAGTTCTGGGCCGAAAACCAATGGTTCAATAATTCAATTGGTTAAAAATATTTATTAATTCCTTGTAAATGAGGTGAAATCCGCAATAGTAATTTATGATTACTCGACAGGATGAAAATTCACGAGAAAAACCTAGCGTTTTTGGAATTCTATCAGTTTCTCTTAGGCATTTTTATGGACATTTTTTAACTATAATTACTTCATTTTTTTTCACTGAATATTTGTAGAAAATATGCGATGAGATCAATAAATTTTGATTTCTCCATGTAATGTCAAAAGAATTGGATTTTTCTGTAGAATTTCCTCGGCTCCCATTTTCCAAGTTTTTTTCATTCTATTTTTTTCTTCTCATCAAGAAAGTCAAACAAAAAACTTTGAAAATTTGAGTCGAGGAAATTCTACAGAAAACGTCTGAAGAGAATAATTTATGTAGAAAAATTGAATTCTATCAACTTTTGTCTATTGAATATTTTCTCTTGAATATTTCACTAAAATCGGCCAAAAACTAATAGAAAATTTAATAGAAATCTACTAGAATTTTCTAACGAATTCGCTAGGTTTGTCTATTAAATTTTTTCGTGCGCAATTTCAAGGGAATTCTGAACAATCGCAGCCCATTAATTTTTTTTCACCTGTTAGACGTGAAATTCCATCCGAATTGCATTACTGGACCAAAAGTGCCGACCCCAATGACTTTATCTCACTCCAATATTAATCACAAATATAATTTTCACTTACAATTAACCACACTTAAAACGTAGCATATCGAATGAAAACATGAAAATTGTAGAAGAAGTAGATTAATATAGTTAAGAGTAGTAATTTCAAATGGAAAAAGATCATGCCGTGTGAGACGAAAAATAGTCCACAAGATAGTTGAGATTAATCATTTGTCATGCTGACAATTCCACTTGATAACTTCAATTATTCTATCTTCTAATTAATGAATAAATTAATTCGCCTTGAGACTGCATTAAAGAAGCCCTGAAACAACTGCTGTATTCTGCTTGTTGCCAATTCTGCACTGTTGTAACAGTGTCCTTGATCAAATCTGAAAAATTCTCCAAATTAACCAGCGTAACGAGTACACCTAATATCATTCCGCATTCCCCCAATCTCCAACGATACCACTAATTAGCCTGCGGCACAGTGAGAGCTATCAAAGCGCAAGTGCAAGAGTGCCTACAGTTCGGTGAAATATTAAACCACGACAGAAGCTGCATTCATCGAAAAATAAAAAGATCGACTACAATCAGTTTATTGAAACAAAACTCGTTCACAAATTTTTCCCGGCTCTTTTGTCAACGTGAATGGGACTAGTGGCGATTGGATTGGATTGAAGCTTTCTCTCATGTCCCACAATTGAGGGAGATAATAGAAGAATGAAAGAGGATGAGCGGATGTAGAATTAGAATATTGTTTTGTAACTTGGCGTTTTTACAAGACGAAGTCGGCATGCATAAGTACAAGTTACAGTAATGAATGATAAATCGTCTTTAAAACTCATAAAGAAAACCAGAAATGAAAAGAGACCATTCGTTTGGCTGAATTTAAATAAATGAGACAGCAAAAAAATTGGCAGAAGGCGATATAAAAATCAAATGCAGAAAATTCTAGACAACTTTGGTTGCTCTGAGTTCTAGGCTTTCTTGACACAACAGAATGAAGAAGAATTTCCCTTGACTTTTTTTAACATGAATGAGAATAATGGTTATGGAATTGAAGCTTTCTTTCATATCCCACAACCCAAATGAATAATAAAATATATAAAAGAGAATATAGAATTGAAATTAAAATATGTTTACTGTAACTTTGATATATGGAGTCAGTTTTTACAAGGGGGAGTCGACATGCGTAAGTACAAGTTACAGTAATGAATGATAAATCGTCTTTAAAACTCATAAAGAAAACCAGAAATGAAAAGAGATCATTCGTTTAGCTGAATTTAAATAAATGAGACAGCAAAAAAATTGGCAGAAGGCGATATAAAAATCAAATGCAGAAAATTCTAGACAACTTTGGTTGCTTTGAGTTCTAGGCTTTCTTGACAGAACCGAATGAATGAAAATTTCCCGAATGAGAATTTCCCTTGACTTTTTTTAACATGAATGAGAATAATGGTTATGGAATTGAAGCGTCCTTTCATGTCCCACAACTCAAGTGAATAATGAAATATATAAAAGAGAATACAGAATTGAAATTAGAATATCTTTACTGTAACTTTGATATATGAAGTCAGTTTTTACAAGGGGGAGTCGACATGCATAAGTCCAAGTTACAGTAATGAATGATAAATCGTCTTCAAAACTCATAAAGAAAACCAGAAACGAAGAAAGATCATTCCTTTAGCTGAATTGAAATAACTGGGTTAGCAAAATAATAGGTAGAAGGCGCTATGAAAATCAAATGCAGAAAATTCTAGACAACTTTGGTTGCTCTGAGTTCTAGGCTTTCTTGACACAACCGAATGAATGAGAATTTCCCCTGACTTTGCCTCAACACGAATGAGAATAATGGCTACTGGAATTGAAGCTTCCTCTCATGTCCCACAAGTGAGGTGGATAATAAAAGAAATAAAAGAGGATAAGCGGAAGTATAATACAGACAGGATAGGACATGAGAAATGGTAGAAATGGGAGATATATCAAGAGACTGACGTTGAGGTGGAAGAGCCAATGAATGAGGGGTAAAGAAACGAAATGAGGACTGGCTGGACTGGATCTCATTTATTTTATCGTTGGGTCTCGACGAGCTACTTAGGATACCTCGAAATCACCCTCCCTCAGGAGAATTCACCGAGGTGTTTCATGTTACATTACGGGAGAGAAGGAATACTGAGGGAGCGCATGGGTATGGGCGGATGGGGTTGCACGCTTGAGGAAAAATATGGAGGGCGTTGTGTTGAAGGGAGTGTAACCACTCGATGATGTCATTGGGAAAAACCGGAAGGGTCGACCTTTATTTTTTCTTCCTGTTTCTTGCACCACTCGCTGGGTGAAACTATCATTGGGGAAGATGGAAAGTTTTTTCGCTGGTGAAGTGAAAATATTGCGTGCTAACCTGTCATTGATAGCAGTAACATTCTCTTTTTTTTCGGAGTGAGCGATAGCAAAATTTTTTTCTATTAGCGAGGGACATAGGCGTGAGAAGTAATAAGAGAGTTATGAGGAAATCCTGTGGGAAATTCCAGTTTAACTTTATGGAATTCTTCTTCATGAACTTCTTCCATAAAAAAAAAATTGCAAATCCTGATACGACACGCACGAAAAAATTTAATAGAAAAACCAAGCGAATTCGTTAGGAAATTCTATTGGATTTTCTATTGAACTTTCTATTAGTTTTCGAATGATTTGATTTTTCTATGTAACTTGTTGTCTTCAGATATTTTCTACAGAATTTCCTCGGCTTGAATTTTCCAAGTTTTTTCATTCTATTTTTCGGTTCTTCTCATCAAGAAAATCAGAGAAAAAAACTTGGAAAATTTGAGCCGGGGAAATTCTATAGAAAATATCTCAATAGAATAAGTTATATAGAAGAATCGAATTCTTGTGAATATTTTCTATTAAACATTTAAATAGAATCGGCCAAAAACTAATAGAAAATGCAGTAGAAATTCAATAAAATTTTCTAACGAATTCGTTAGGTTTTTCTATTAAATTTCTTCATCGGTGGATCTTTCTAGCAACGATTTTGCATCACCATTTAGATTCCCTATGAGATTGGCCCATAAACAGCCGGAGAATGTCCATAGGAATTTATAGCCTCCATCGGGAATAATTTCCTGAACGCCCAGAGCATTTTTATAGGCACCATCAAACCTCTCGGAACCTTCATAAAATCATTTTCTACAGAGGCGTAAAAATCCCGCAGACAAGTACACCTAAAAATCCGTTGTTAACTAAAGCATATCTCTGGTGTCACTAAAAGTGTTCATTTGCAACCGGAGAAATGACGCATACGAGGTGGATAAAACTTTTTGTTTGAATTCATTTTCGTTTGAATTTTCGTTTCGTCTGTTCGTTCCAATAATATATTTATTTCGATGGTGAAGTGAAAATATTGCATGCTAACCTGTCACTGATAAAATATTTTTCTATTAGCGAGGGAAAATGATGTGTGAAATAATAAGAGAATTATGAAAAAATCCTGTGCGAAATTCCAGTTTCATTTTGCGGGATGCTTTTTCATGAACTTCTTTTCACAAAAAAAATGTATCAATTCCGATGGGATACTTCCAGGAATTTTCAGTGAAGGAAACGATCCTATGGAAATTCTGTCTTGCATGATTTAGAATCGGAATTTAGATTCCCTATGAGATTGGCCCATAAACAACCGGAGAATGTCCACAGGAATTTACAGTCTCTATCGCGAATAATTTCATCAACGTCCAGGGTATTTTTATAGACACTATGAAACCTCTCGGAACCTTCATAAAATCATTTTCTATAGAGGTGTAAAAATCCTGCAGACAAGCACACCTAAAAACCCGTTGTTAACTAAAGCATATTCTGGTGTCACCAAAAGTGATTACTTGCAATCGGAGAAACGACGCATTCAAACCGGAAAAACCTTTTTATTTGAATTTCTCCTGTTCATTTCAACAATATCTCTAGTGGAAATGAACAAACTCATATTTATTTCTATTCCGTAAAATGTATGATCCAAAGTTTTCATTCCGACCTAAAAAATGACTCATTCGATGTAATTAAAACCCTAAATAATACAGAATCAAAATTCCTCTCCCAAATCTTACAAGACCGATTCCGCCGAGATGATCCGCTAAAAAGAAGCTATTAGACCATGTCCCCAGGATTTTTTCACACGTGAGGCCCCTACATAACCGATAATTCTAAAAAATAGCATTTTCGTGCTGGATTTATCTACAGCAATACCACAACTACATGAAAGACACTCCATTAAGACACCCGACGTACCCACCCTCTGGCTCTGTGATCCTTGCTGGGTAGTAAAGCAGTGTACCTCGTCTGTTGATCAGTAGGCAAAACAATATCAACACTCTTGGATCTAGTGTTCTGTTGGGGCACAGCAAGACAGTCACCCCCATCACCATTACCATTTTTATTATTGAAACACGAATCAACAGACGCGGCACGATCTCTCTTCAACTCAGGTACAGTTAGAAAAATATCTCTGACCACGAGTTTGCACTTTTCCACATCATTGTCCCTGTCCTCGTCATCATCGTCGCCCCTCGACTCTTCGTCGTCGTCATCTGGACCAAGAATTGAAGGTAGATCAATGGGAAATGATATGACAGCTTCCTGTCGCGAGAGTCTTCGAGGTCTCTCACCAGGTACAACCTCCGGCCTGACGTCACTGACGTCACGACACGTCTCACAATCAGATGTTCTCTCAAAATTGGTGAGAGTAACCCGAATCTCCGGGCTGCCATCTCTCCTCGTTTCATCATCATTATCAGTGTCAACAACTTCAATGCTAATCTCCTCGAGATCCTCGTCCTCAGGCTCCGAGTCATTGTCATCTTTCCTGAGAAACTGTGCCTTCCACTCCTCAACGCATGCACAGTGATAGCAACCAGACAACTGTATCAACGGTGTGTCACTCTTTCTCGATCCTGAGGAGCCAGACGATCTCGCTGGTGACGACGAAAGGAGCGAGCCCCTCTCATAAACATCAACTGACTTTGATCTCTGCGCATTCTGCAATTGTGGCACCCGCAGGGTCGCCAGACGTTGGTCTGACGACCTTGCTGGTGACGACGACGATGACGATGATGCCGTGTTTATTTTAGTCAACAAATCACGATATTTAGACTGATCGTCCTGACGCTTAGCCTCCAACTGTATCTCATCGAATGACGCTGATCTCACTTGCTTGGGCACTTCCAAACTCGATTGTGACTTCATTTCCGACCCGGTCGGTGTGCGCGACCTCTTGAAGGTCGAACGCAGTCTCTGCATTATCCAATTTTCCAATATCAGTGACCCCCACTTTATCAGCAGTAACGAGGTGTCTTATTGGTGCCTGGTGACGGCGTGATGACACCAGAGTGACACCAGTCAACTCAATTACCAATGAGTCGTCAGTCATCAAGTTAATTGATGAATTTTTTATTATTGTTGGCTCATCATCAGCAACAATTGTGCTGATCAACGTCACTGCTAATTCCCTGCCCATCCTAGCTCATTCAGGTGGGTTATTAATTGAGTAATGGAATATTTTCTCACTCCACGCTCCATCCAATTGTTCCAGGACACTTTTTCATTCCGCTATTTATACATATTTTTTCATCTATTTCTCGCCCTTGAAGTCACGCCGATCGCAATGCAACGCCCCCACACCGGCCTCTAATTGATCAGCGTAATTACTGTACTCCACTCAGTTATAATCGACAGGTCGAAGTAATTGGCATAGTAATTAACAAATTACCCTTGAACGTAGACGAAGCAATATCTTCCCGATGCATAGAGCCTCACCCCTCATCCCTCAGCAAGTGTAAACTCAATACCTCAAGGAAATTGTCCGATTACTCAGCATCAAAGACCACCTCCATCCCACTGGATCCATCGCATTGGTGCGAAGCGATTCCATGAATACTTGATCACTTCATTCCGCCGAATGTCACGGACGTTTCGCTGATAAGCAGATTAAATTTCATGAAAAACTCGACGAGTTTTCCCATTAATTCCCTGATAAATCGTCTCAACAACTTTTTTTCTTTCTCAAAGCCTCTCGCCGACTTATCCAGCTCGAAAAGCTTCCCCTCAATCTTCGGGATGGTGTGCAGTGTCAATGATCGTATCACGAGGCCGTGTGAAAGTTCAACGTGCGCCCACGTACGTCTGGCATTCACCAAGAAAGACCGAAACTTCTGCCGAGTACCAACGCCTACAAATCGTCATTCCATCAATTGCGAGAGATGGGAGAATCAATTGTTCATCATTTCAAAATCGGTTAATCGCCAATCCACGTGACATTTATAGTTTGTAAATGACATTCGTGACGCAGTGACAATGACAAATGAAATTGGTGGTCATGAAAATACACGGAGTAGCCAAATCTACTGGGGCCACTCGTCACTCATGGACTGATGGACACGATGATCCCGTTGATTTGTACCACACTGGACATGCCACGAGTACCAGAGTGTACGATACACACAACCAGCAGCCAGCAGCACCATCGATCCACCTATTCAGCCCCGTAACTTAATTTTACCCCCCCTGACACACACACACCCCACCCCCTCCTCTTATTTCAGCGACTCTTCACACACATAACACACACCAGTGATGATCTTTCAGACGTTTAAAACATCACCCACTGCTTGGCAGGCACTTGAGCCCCCACCCAACATTACCATTCACTATTCCAATTTTCACGCCTTGAGTTTGGGAAAAATAATGATTTTGCGGCACATGTGCTTGCTTGTGCCCATGTGAATTCAGGTGATCTCCATGTTATCGCGGGAACCGGCCTACCTGGCGGCACAGTCAGGTGAACATCGCCGGGAGTTTGTGCCGGTGGTCCCGGGTGAACCGATGGCTCGGTGGGTTTTTTTGGTTTTTACTTTGGAGGTGAAGGTGGAAAATTTGGCTGGGACGATTGACGTTACGCAGTTGTCGACGGGTGTGAATAGCGGGGTGGATTCGTGGTAACGGGGGAGTGCTAGATCCTCGTCGTGGCACAACACGCCGAAGACTCCCAAAGCATAAACCCTCGGGGTCGTGGGTTACTCCTCAGCGTCCCTGTGTGTTCTCGGTCAGGCATGCGCGCCAACCGCAAGGTGGATCGCACCCGTGTTATACATGTATGTACACTGGGGTTTTGTTACATGTGGAGAGATGGTACCAACATGTTGGAGTTGCGGGCGGGAGAGGAGAGCCCAGGAGTCATGATAGGCGGGGGAAAATAGTTTTTCAATTGGGGGTATTGATATTTTTTTTAAAGTTTGTTTTTCGGGCTGTTGTTCGGGGAAGTGAGCGTGGAATAATCGATGCAGGGAGAAAAATGGTCAGGAAAAATTAGGGAAGTCGGAGCTCCCTCGCCGATTACGGAATCGAGGCAGATTTAAGTGATTTTATCGTAATTTTTCAGAGGAGATTCAGGTGAAAATTACGTGACAGTTCCGTAAAATTTCCTACATTTCACTCCGGAATTAGGGAAACGTTGTGTACTTTTTATTGAATATTTCTCTCCGTGTGGTTGACGCACGGGGAAAAATCCATTGACAATAATAGCACGTTTTTACTTATTGATAAGAAATGTTTTTTGTTACCAAAACATCAACAATTATTTTTTAACTATGGCACAGCGAATTCCATTGCAATAAAAATTTCTTGATAATTGCAAAAATTAGTGCAGAGATACTACTAGTATTTGGGAGTTAACCGGAACTCATGACATGCGGGGGAAAATAGTTTTTCAATTGGGGGTATTGATATTTTTTTTAAAGTTTGTTTTTCGGGCTGTTGTTCGGGGAAGTGAGCGTGGAATAATCGATGCAGGGAGAAAAATGGTCAGGAAAAATTAGGGAAGTCGGAGCTCCCTCGCCGATTACGGAATCGAGGCAGATTTAAGTGATTTTATCGTAATTTTTCAGAGGAGATTCAGGTGAAAATTACGTGACAGTTCCGTAAAATTTCCTACATTTCACTCCGGAATTAGGGAAACGTTGTGTACTTTTTATTGAATATTTCTCTCCGTGTGGTTGACGTACGGGGAAAAATCCATTGACAACAATAGCACGTTTTTACTTATTGATAAGAAATGTTTTTTGTTACCAAAACATCAACAATTATTTTTTAACTATGGCACAGCGAATTCCATTGCAATAAAAATTTCTTGATAATTGCAAAAATTAGTGCAGAGATACTACTAGTATTTTGGAGTTAACCGGGACTCATGACATGCGGGGTAAAATAATTTTTCAATTGGGGGTATTGATATTTTTTTTAAAGATTGTTTTTCGGGCTGTTGTTCGGGGAAGTGAGCGTGGAATAATCGATGCAGGGAGAAAAATGGTCAGGAAAAATTAGGGAAGTCGGAGCTCCCTCGCCGATTACGGAATCGAGGCAGATTTAAGTGATTTTATCGTAATTTTTCAGAGGAGATTCAGGTGAAAATTACGTGACAGTTCCGTAAAATTTCCTACATTTCACTCCGGAATTAGGGAAACGTTGTGTACTTTTTATTGAATATTTCTCTCCGTGTGGTTGACGTACGGGGAAAAATCCATTGACAACAATAGCACGTTTTTACTTATTGATAAGAAATGTTTTTTGTTACCAAAACATCAACAATTATTTTTTAACTATGGCACAGCGAATTCCATTGCAATAAAAATTTCTTGATAATTGCAAAAATTAGTGCAGAGATACTACTAGTATTTGGGAGTTAACCGGAACTCATGACATGCGGGGGAAAATAGTTTTTCAATTGGGGGTATTGATATTTTTTTTAAAGTTTGTTTTTCGGGCTGTTGTTCGGGGAAGTGAGCGTGGAATAATCGATGCAGGGGAAAAATGGTCAGGAAAAATTAGGGAAGTCGGAGCTCCCTCGCCGATTACGGAATCGAGGCAGGAGATTTAAGTGATGCTATCGTAATTTTTCAGAGGAGATTCAGGTGAAAATTACGTGACAGTTCCGTAAAATTTCCTACATTTCGCTCCGGAATTAGGGAAACGTTGTGTACTTTTTATTGAATATTTCTCTCCGTGTGGTTGACGCACGGGGAAAAATCCATTGCCAATCGTAGCACGTTTTTACTTATTGATAAGAAATTTTACTTGTCACCAAGCTTGTAAACTTGGTTTAATTTCCAATGATATTTTATTGAAAATTGCACCAGCGCGTTGATAATCGGTGTTGATTCTTTATAAAAATCGTTTAATTATTACTTATTCAGATATTCGATAAATACCTAGCGAATTCGCCAGAAAATTCTATTGGAATTCTATAGGAATTCCATTGAAAAATGTCAATAGACTTTGAATTTCTGTTTGACTTGAAATTTTCCTCTTGAAATTTTTTCTATAAAAATGCTTGGTCCTCAATTTTCCCAGTTTTTTCCACTCGCAGTCTGCAATGCAGAACGAAGCAAAATCCACCGGAAAAAAACTTAGAAAATTTGTGCCCCATAATTCTAATAGAAAAAATCTAAGAGAAAAATTCAAACAGAAATCCTAAATCTATTCTATTTCTTCTCTTTTTTTCTACTTTCTCTTTTTCTTTTTCTAAATAATATAAATTTTCTAAAAATCTTTTTTTTTTCTAAATATCCAATAGAATCAGCGTAAAAAACAAATAGAATTTTCCAATAGAAATCCTACAGAATTCCAATAGAATTTTCTAGCGAATTCGCACGGTTTTCTATTGAATTATGTCATACGTGGACATCCAGGCCTAGGTTTTCAATTACGTAATGAATCAAAGTTACATCGCCTCAGTGACTCTGTATCACTCCTGATGTACTTATTCATGATGCACGAGATGCTGCTATTTCAACTGCACGACACTACTTCGGGATTCATTTGGCTTGACGTAGGTTCCTACCACCTCGGAATAGATACTCCCAGTACTCCATAATGAATTGTCTGTATTGTTATTTTTAAATCCCAATGGCTTTCAATTTAGTGGTGATCGATTGTGTCGCTCTATAGGCATCACAAGAGACAGAGCAGAATAGGGTGGGAATTGAGGTTTCAGGATGAATATCATTCTCGTTCTGATGTTGTCAGGGGTTTTTAAAGGGGTCTTCACAGAGACACTCTCGTGGATAATGGCGACATTGAGGATACTCATGCTGAATGCAGAAAATTGCCGGAGCCAGATGGAGTATGAGTTCTCATCATGAAATACTGGGGGGTTGCATGCCTCTGGGGAAGATGTGTAGAAAGATTCGTTGGGATTTCTCGGATAATACTGGAGACCACCCACTTCAAGTGGGCGCTGTGGAGGG